CTCCATTCCGTCTTCCACTCAGCTGTTAAAGTGATCTCCCTGAAGAACAGGTCTGGCCATGTCACCCCCATTCTCAGTCAACTCCAGTGCCTCCCTTTTTCTTCCTGGATCAGATATAAAATTCTTTAAGGTTCATTCCCTTTATAACTTTCTCTACCCCTACCTGCACACACCTTTCCAGTCTAATTACAGTTTACAGTCTCTGCTTCCTCATCCACTATGATACAGTGACACTGACCTCCTTGTTGTACCTCACACACAACCCCCCATCTCCTGACTGAGCATTTTTATCCAGTGTCCAACATGCCTGGGATGCTCTTCTCTCTTCATCTCCCCCTATTGGCATCCTTGGCTTTTCTTCAAGTCCCAGCTAAAATCCTGTTTCCACAGGAAATCTTTCCTTTAATTCTAGCTCCTTCCCTCTTTTGATGATTTTCAATGTATCCTAACTATGACTTGTTTGTACATAGTTATCTGCATGTTGTCTTCCCCATTAGATTGGGAGATCAAGGTCTGTCCTTTACCTTTCTTTGTATCCCCCAATGCTTATCACAGTGCTAGGCAGGTAGTAGTTGGCTTAATACATATTTATCAACTGATTGTTAAGTTTCATCTTTGACCCATTATTCTAGATGCTGAGATCTTTTTCTCATTCTATGTAATGTGTCAGTTTCTTTTCCCATCTTTGTGTCAACTGCAGCTTTGACAAACTTGCCTTCTACGTAGTGATCAAAGACATGGTTAAAAATCCTTGAGCATTTTTATGCATAAGAACAGAGCAAACTTCCAGGTTGAAGCTTGAGTCTTTAATGCTACTTTTTTTTTAACCAGTCATTAAACTATTTCTGAATCCAGCTAACTGTACTTTTTGTAGTCTTGTCCAAAGGTACAGCATAAGAAACTTGTAGGAATGTTTTGCTGAAATCTAAACAAACTGTCCCTATAGCATTTCCCTATCTCCCAGTTTAATTGCCTCGTCAAAAAAAAAAAAGAAGGAAATGAGGTTGGCCTAGCATGACCTGCATTTTGGCTTTTAGGGATCACTGCTCCCCTTTCTCTATACAGTCTTGTATACAGTTCCCTTAATAAGGGATGTGTCTTAACTAAGTTGCCTCTCCTTTCCTCTCAGTAGCTAAAAGGGAAGTGGCTTAAATGTTTGTTAAACTGAAATACTACTAGTAGAGTAATATAAAAGAAAGAAAAAAATCCTAAGGCTGCATTGTTATCATTTTATCCTGACAATGCCTCGTGAGGTAAATATCACCACTACCACCCCTTTTTTGGGTGTTGTTATTTGTTGTTGTTGAGTGGTTTCAGTTGTATCCATCTCTCCTGCACAGTGATCCTATTTGGGGTTTTCTTGGCAAAGATACTAGAGTGGTTTGCTATTTCCTTTTTCAGCTCATTTTTTACAGATGAGGAAACCGAGGCTAACAGGGTTACGTGACTTGCCCTGAGTCACACAACTAGTAATATCTGAGGCTGGATTTGAATTCAGGACCTCCTGACTCCAGGGCCTGTACTCTATGCACTGTGCCACTTAGTTGCCTCAAAAAAATAAACTGCCGTGGTCTGTCATTTCCTTCTCCAGCTCATTTTACAAATGAGGAAACTGAGGCAAACAGGGTCATGCAGCTAGTATGTATCTGAGGTCGGATTTGAACTCAGGTGCTTCTTACTCTAGGGCTGGTTAACCACTGTGCCACTTAGCTGTATTCCCCCACCCCATTTTACTGATGAGTAAACTGAGCTTTGTTGAGATTAGGTGACTTTCTGGATTATTCAACACAGCTAATACGCAAGCACCAAAAACTAGATTTAATCCTGACTTCCCTGACTCCAAATCTGATAATTTTTTTTTTAATGAATCACCATTTCTCTTGATAATTTAGTGTGGCTGCCCCGTAACTTTAAAAAGAAAATTTTTTTATTGTTAATGATCAACAAACAAGTATTCCAACTTGGGGAAAAGAACAAAACGAGAAGATTGTACAAAGGAACTGTGAACTTGTGACTTAGTAATGTTGGGCCCCTGCTTCTGTGTGAACGAGTCTCATCAGCTGATTTGTTAAAGGAGACCAGGCCCTTCTAAAAATTGTCAACGTCACCCATTATTTAGTGACCCAAGAGAGACTAGCTCTCTGTGATTCACAAAAAGTATGGTCCATAGCTGCTTTCTGAGCTTAGAGGGCTGTTTGGTTGGAATTACACATGTGCATAAGACTATATTTACTTTTCCTTAACTCAGTTTTTGGTGATGAAGAAGGCTGATAAACAGAATCTGCTGGATTTTCTTCACCTTGTTTGACAGACCTAGTTCCTTTTTTATTGTATTCTGTACCATCCATAATTCTTTTACTATAAGTAGGGAGTTAGGGAGTGAGAGAGTTGCCTGTGACTTGTTGGGTGAAATTCCAGTGAAGCTGTTACTAACTGTGAGAAAGACGTCTACTGTGTCAACAACACCTGTCTGGGTGTTTGGAAATGTTTGGTGGCAGCAGGGGGAGGTGGGGGAATAGCTGATGTTGGTTGGTTGGTTGGTTTTTAATGGAAATAGCAGTTGCCTGATGTGTTCAGACAGGAATGACCCTCCCTGAGTTGAGGTCTCATTCCAAGAACAATTCTACTCTCATTTTAATTCACTGCCCTTATGTCTTTCCCTCCATCCAATATGATGAGGGAGTCTAGAAGAGAATCCCTAAAAAGCAGAAATTGGCCTGGGTGATGTTACCCAAGGATGGTATCATTTAAAGAAGAGAGCAAAATTTGGAGAAAGTGATCATTAAAATAGGAGATTTGCTCAGCACAATAGCTTTTGGAATAGATGATTTATCATCTTACCTTTTGGACAGAGTTGAATAACAACCTGACATCAAATACCACTTGTTAGACACTTCTTAGTTTAAATCCTTTGGGATTCCCTTATCTGCATAAGGATACATTTCTTTGTTTAAAGGTCCATATTTGTGTTAGCAACATGTGCTAGATGATGACTCAGGCTTATCCTGGTTTTAAAATTCTTTGCGTATAGTGTTTCGACCTGCTTTGTCTCTGAAATGACCAAGTGGACTAGACAGTCTCTTCAAGTCTCTTCCAGCTCTGAAGTGCTGTCCAAGAGCGTTCATCCTGTTAATAGGGTTTCCTCTCACTGGTTGTATCATGGTAGAGACGTAGTTCCATATTGTAACCTTTAACCACTCCATATCATCTAATCTGCAGCATAGGAGCCAATAGTTCTTAATCACTGCCTCTGGTTTTAATGCAGGGTGAGGAAGCCATATAGGGGACTTGATTTTGGACCTACCAAGGCTATCCACAGGATAATGGGAATGAATCTTTTTTATTACATAACCAAAGCCCAGAGTGACATTGGGGTTCTTTGTAGGTAGAAAATTCCTCCTGAAGATTCTGGCTTCTGGTACAATAATAATGGAGTAATTCAGAGGTGTGTGCATATCTGTTGTTCTGATGAATGACCCCAGTGGAAATAATCTAGGCTGAAGGAAAATAAAGATTGATTTTCCAGACAGAGAATTAGTATAGTGTTCTACCAAGGATTGGCACTCATTCAAAAATGTCTAGGGACTGACAATTGACAATAGCTAATAGAAAAGGGAACTATAAAAAAAACCCACATTTTAAAGAATAAATTTGGAGCATGAGAGAGAAACAATTAACATGTGGGGTTTTGGCCCACGTGTTTTTTTAGTGGAGAAGGATAACCAAATTTTTAGAGTGAAATAGGGGTGGTACTGGCTTGGGGTGGGAAGGGAGAGCGAGTCTACAGTCTGTCATAAGCAGATTTTCGCAGGGTCCATCACTAAATGTCAGAAGTAGTTTTCAGAGACCTCGAACTGATTCTTGCCCTTAAGCTCTCACGTCCTATTCCCTAAGTTGCTTATTCTGTCTCCTCTGGGGGTTTTGGTGCTCCACCATCTCTCCCTTCTCTGGATCTGTGGGAAGCAGCCAGAATACAGTGCTGGTGCACACGGCTCTCCTGTTTCAGAGTAGAATCTTCTTCCGACTCACTTGTCAGGCAGTCTGGGAAAGGTCAACAGCAGTAGGAACACATTCTCACACTCAATCAGTTAAGACTTCTCAACTTGGATCCGAGGGGAGGGCTGTAAAGAAACTTATTTCATCTTTATTTATGTATTTACTCATTGATTCATTTATTTATTCATTCATTCATTTCATCTTAATTTATTTTCTTATTAATACAACCATTTATTTATTTCATTAAAAAAAACTTTGAGTTCCAAATTTTCTTCCTCCTTCCAGCCCCTCTCCCACCCATTGAGAAGGCAAGCAATATGATCAGTTATTTATGTAAAGTCATGCAAAATATAATTCCGTATTAACTATGTGGCCCCAAAACAAGAACAAGAAAAATAAAGTGGAAAAAAAAATGTGGCATATTTTATCCTTCAGCAGACTTCTTTCCTCTCCAGGCTGAACTCCTGCCTCATCTCCTCAGGGCTTTCTCTCCTATGCCATAGAAACCTCTTTACAATCTAATGGCTAGGGTACAGACTTCAAGTCAGGAAAACCTGGGTTTAAACTGCACCTCAGATTCTCATTGGATAGACCTAAGTGGATCAATCAGTGTCTGAAATGCAGTTTCTTAATCCATAAAAAAATAGTATTCTAGTACGTTTGTGTGTATATATGTATATGCTATAGTATATATGGTATAGTATTACATTTAAAATCCCACAAGGTAGTTGGGAGGATCAGATAAGAAAATGCATATAAAACAGGAAGGATTTGCAAAATGCTAGATCAAAGTTATTATCATCTCACCTTGCAGTAAAAGAATCATGTCCACAGAAGGACAACCTGGCAGACAAGGACACACTGCTGAGATGGTTTATTTGCCTATACTGACATCAGAACTCGATCATCTTTTTCTTTTTCCTGGAGTACACTTTGGTAGCAAGGTCTGTGACCCACAGAGCTCTCTCATTCCAAGTTTTTCTTTTTTTTCTTTCCTCATGTAGGTAAAAGCCACAGGAAGAGAGCTTTTCCAGCAGGTGTGTGACTTGTTGAGCATTAAAGAACCCCACTTCTTTGGCCTGAGTGTTGTTCGAAGTAAGTATTGACGCATACATAAAAGGCAGGGCTCCCTTCCTTCCCCTTCAGCGTTTGTTCAGCTGTGATCCCACAGGCCCTTTGCATGCCTGTATTGTCTGCAGTGTCCCATGCTTATGCCTGTAAGTAGTAAGGGTACACTGAGGGCAGTCCCTGAACTGCAGAATCAATACAGTCAATGTGTTCTGGGGTCCCAGCTTCTGACCACCACCCTTGAATGGCTGTGTCTATAACCATCAAGATACAGTGTGGTGGTAACAGTGTGCTGTCTGGGTTCATTCTCCAATTCTTTTTCCTTCTGAGTAACAAAGAGCAGGAATTCCCATCTTAGTTGAGCTAAGATTCTCTGAGCTCTCATTTTGTAGGGCTGTCTAGAAACTCTGCTAGACCAGTCTGATTTAGGATTACTTCCCCTTCAAACATTTTACTTTCCATCCAAACTGGCCAACTTAACTTAGTATTCCCCTCATACTATTCTAATTCCCTCTTTTGTGTCTTTGCATGGCATCTGTCCTGCATCATGTCTGGGTGTCCTCATCATCCCAGGATATTCTCCATCCTCACCTGCTTCTTGGAAACTTCATTCATTAGTCATCAGTGCCCCACTCTGTAACCATTTTTTATTAATTTTTGTATCTAACCTGTCTTACCTTATCCATTCATATGTAGCTCCCTCCACAAATAGAATATCAATTCCATGAGGGTAGGTACTGTCTCTAATTTGTATTTGTGTCCCAGCATTGAGTATGGTGACTGGCACATAGTAAACACTTTTGACTTTGAAAGATCATTGATACATGGCTGTTTACTCTACCATGTCAGATCTCATCCCATTAAGGGTTACTAGACCGAAATTATACATCGTTTGACATTCAGCTTTCATGGTATGATCCTCTCTTCTCATCGAGGCTGGTCTTCCATTGACCCAACAGTCTGTTGTCAAGTACATGCTTGTAGTTTCTCCTGTTTGGTAAGACTTACTTGTCTTCCCCTGCTAGAGCCTTTGAGAACCCAGGCTCTTAGGGGCAAGATGACCAGGTGTTAGCTATTCTTAGCGGAGGTGAAAATGCTTCTATAGTTTACCATTTGAAGGAAACCTTTCTAGTGATCCACATATTTATGGAAGACTCAAAATCACAGAATTTGAGAGCTGAAGGGCCCTTAGTGGTGGCCATGTGGTCCAGCCCTTATTCAACAGTGTCCACCCGCTGTAACAGGACATGTGATCATCCAGGCTCTACCTGACGTCTTCCAGGGAAGGGAGCTCACTGTCTCAGGGCAGCCACATTTCAACATTTCTGAATGTTAGGATGATAAGTTTGTTGAAAGTGTGGCATTGTGGAGGCAACTTGGAACTTAAAGTCAGTAAACCAGGGTCAAATCCTGCCTTAGATGTAACATGCATTATGATCATGGGCAAATTTTTTAGCCTATCACAGCCTCTATTTCTTTGTGTAGAAGGGTATAAAGAATATTAACTCTCTCTATCTCACAGGATTATTCTGAGGAAAGATCTTTGCAAATATTAAAGCACTCAATATATTACATGTGAGTTGTTAGTGTTGAACCTGCCTGTCTCTGATAGTTTCCTGTGTTGTATGAGAATAGAAGTTAGAAGAAAAATCTCAACATGCTTTATTATTAAGAGCATAAGACAGGGAGTCTAAACCTGTCTCTGTCATAAACTAGCTATATGGCCTTACATACTCTGGGCCCCAGGTTTCCTCCTCTGTGAAATGATCAAAATTAATTAATCATCTGTTTTTGAGCCCTATCTTAGGGTGGATTTTCATTGGTTAGGGTACCATTAGTGGTCATCTCTTCTAGGTGGGTCATCTAATGACATGCCTGCTGCTTTGTCCAGTGACATTTAACTAGTTAAGGTTTAAAAGATAACCCATTCCAAGTTTTGCTTTCATGTAAAAGACTTCAGTCCTTGTTAATACAGCTTAAAAAACAGCTAAGCCCTCCCTTCTTTCCTTTGCTGAATGATTCTTTAGGAAGTTGGAAGCTGTTTTCTCAGTTATAATTTTATTAGTTTCTCTCTGAGTGTAAAAAAAAGTATAATCTATTCGAAAGTGTGATGGTGAGGAGGAGGGGATACACTAAAAAAACAAACAAGCCAGAAATGGTAACTAACTCATTTAGTGAATCTCATTCCAGTGTTACTCATATATGGCCTTACTCTTTCTGCATAGCTGGGTAGTGAACCATGCAAGCTAAAACCTATACTGGTTCTAGAGTTTTGAATCTTACTGATCAAAGAGATATCTGGGATTGTTTTGCCCCATGGTCCCTTTTAAACTAATTATAGTAAGGGCAGAAACTTCCCCCAAAATCCCCTCTCTCTCTACCCTTCCCTGTTTCCATTAACTTACCTCTCCCTTATCTCATTGCCCATCAGTCTTCTGTGCCACCCACCATATTCCCTTCACTTTATTGATTTGTGACCTGACTAGGCTACCTTGTGTTTGTTAGAGACTAAGGCAGTAGTGGCCCCCTAGGGTGTACGTGATGTGTGGTTTTTGAAAGGCCTGTGAAAGGGAATGACAAGGATAGACTATTTGCTGGAGATGGTGAGGGGCAGTTCCCATCAAAGATTAACCATGTGCATGTTTTTGTGGTGGTCTTTTTTTTTTATCCTCATCTCAGCCACAAAAAATGAAGAAATACCTGAAAGTTCTTTCAAAGACACTAGGCTTTGCTGTAATGAACTGCAAGTGAACAATTCTTTGCAGATGGCCCCAAGGGTTTAAGCCCTTGTTCTTCAAGATCATTTCTCTTAATGGAAATTGAGTCATATTAGGAGGGGAGAAAGGTTGCCACATTCTTGTTGTACCTGTTCTCTAGATAAACAGAATTCCCCAGGGTCTTTATGCAGTTTGATTTTTAATAAGTATACAATTTTCACCAAAGGGGTGTTTGCTCTGAGGAGTTTGTTTTTGACCTTTTCAGTAATGACATTCACCACAAAGCCAATGTGAGTGGTGATGAATTTGGGAAAAACAAATTCTTGAGGAGAGGGGAGGGAAAAAAAGCTAAGCTGCATCATCATCTGACAGGTCATAGAATACAAAGTGGTGGCACCACTTTCTTCTGACATATGATGATCTGAGAATGTACAGTGTTGGCCTTAAAAAAAAGCAATTAAAAAAGAAAACCAGGAGTAGATTTAAAAATCCTTATGTGCCTTTGTGTTTCAGGCCACAGACTCTTAGTGAATGCAGGCTGCATGTATGAGTATGGCTATTTTGCCAAGAGATTTGTGTTGTGAAACAGCTGCATTAATTAATCAAATTTCTTGAGCCCTTAATGCAAGTCACCATACTGGTTTCTGAGGAGAATACTGAAAAATCCAAGATGTTGTCCTTGTTAATAGGATTTTTATTTAGAGCTGGAAGGCACCTTAGAGGTCTTATCTAGTTCAACTCCCTCATTATACAGAAGAGGAAACCGAGGCACAGAAGTTAAGATACTAGCACAAGGTCATTCAAGGATGTTCTCAAGAAGCCTGCAGGATTGTTGTGCAGAAATATATCCATACCTGTATTGTGGAAATGGCACTGTACTCACAACATCTGAGTAGACGTTTCCTAGGTGTATGACCACTAACAAGTCATTGAACTTTTCTGAACCTTACTTTCTTCATCTATAAAATAGGGGTAATTATATACTACCTAGCTCAAAGAGTAGTTGTGAGAAAAGTGCTTTAAAAAAAACTTTCAGAAACTGTTTCTAGAAGAAAGCCTGGCCTTAAAATGTTTTGGAATCTTATAGGAGGAGGAGGAGGATCCTAAATCCTTTATGGGTTCCTGAGCCCAGGGAATGAGGTTGAAGCACCGAGTGGCAGAGGAGAGCCATTTTGAGCTTCATGGACAGGAATCAATCTGTTGGCAGTGGCCATGGGATTGAGGCTTAACCTCTAGGAAGTCTATTCTCATTCCCCCAATTCATGGTCTCTTCCCTGATCAGTTGTACTAGCTTTGTATCTGTATGCCTATTGTATTCCCACCCCCACACCACATCCCTGGGCACAGTGACTGGTTTTGTTTCTGTAGACCCAGTCCCTTGCACACAGTAGTGGAGAACTTTTCATTATACAGCTCCCTAGCAGACAGAGGACTTGCAATTTCAAAGGCAGGCAGACTGAGAGAAGAAAGCTGGTTTTGGGGAGCAGGACTAAATCTTCCATTATAGGTTAATTGGATCCTACTAGGCTTCAAGCCCGTATAGTCAGTGTTTCATTATGTGGCTCTTGGACATGGCGTAGCTGACTTTGCCATGGCCATGGCATCTTTGCTATTGAAGTACCCTCTTCTTTCAAATGATCATTTTGGGCAATCAGCAGGTTAAGTTTTAGCTTGCATGGCTCAATACCCAGCTATGCAGAAAGGGGAAAAAGCACGTACATATACTGAATATATGCAAAATGAAGACAAGATAGTTTTTTCAGGGGAGAGCATAGTAGAACTAGGGAAATCAGGAAAGGTTTTACATGGGAGATGGCACTTCAGCTGCTTCTTAAAGAATCCAGAGCTTCCCAAGTGACAAAGATAAGGAGGGAAGAACATTCCAGGCCTGGGGCTTAGCCATTCCAAAGATAACCTTCCTTGAGAAGGAGGGATGGATTGCAGGAATGGAGGGAGTGATCACCTCGTACTCCTTTGTAAAGGTAGCGGTTGACTTTGTTCAGCACTGAAAACAGGCAAACATACCTGACAGCATTAGGAGGGGTGGGAGTTAGGCCAGAAGAGCATACAAAGGGGGGATTGTTAGGTTTATCAGCAGCTGATATTTTCTTAAAGAAGGTGTGTTTGCTCTGCAAAGGAAGTTCCCAGGTGGGAGGATTTTCATATTAGTGCCAGCCAGTCAGTTAATGCCACCTCCTCCTACACGGAGGACATGTGAGGTTCCATGTGGTGCTTCCCAGCCCTCTGAGCTCTGCTGAACAATGAGGGGAAAGCAGGTTGCTCCTCTTTAGGAAAAGTAGCCTGGCTGTCCGCCTACACTCTGTCTAGGACTACCTCTCTTCTTCAAAAGGAAGAGGCAAGATCAGCCGAGAGAACCTATGGAATGTGCTGGATTTCCTGGCTCCCAGTGCCTTTCCTATCACTGCAGAAACTAAGGTCCAACAGGCCAGAAAACCAACTTCAGCCAGTTGACTTTAATTTGATAGAGCTCCTTACTGGGATGAGTTAGGTAGAGCACAGCAAAACAGGAAATCAGAGGCCTTAAACTTTAAATAGTGAACTCCCTGGCACTCATAAATGCATTTTGATTGATTTGATTAAATTATCTTTTAAAAAGAGAAAAATAAAATGTCAAAGCTGGAACAGATCTTAAGCTTTATGCTTTATAAATTGGAGGGACACTTTGTCCCGTTCTATCATTTTCTAGGTCTAATATTTCTTATATATAAAGATTGCATCTTGTCCCATATCACACTAATTTGTGGCTGAGCTAGTCTTGTTGTTATATCTCACATTTACATAATATTTTTGTATTATTTACAAAATACTTTTAACAAGGATTTAGACTGGGATCTCTGGCCTTCCCAGAGAGTAATGAAATTCCAGTTTTGTACAAGTTTTCAGGGATGCTCTCTATTGCCAAAGGCCTCAGGACACTATCTTCGTATAGCATGAGGTGTTTGTGACAGATAAGGTCAATCAAAGTAAACTTGCGAGACTTTCAGAAAGATATTTTTAGGACCTCAGGTCCTTGGTGTTCTAAGATGGGCTGACCCTGCCTAGGCAGAGGTGAATTAGATCAACGTCACCACCGGTTTCCTTTTTCTACCCCTGCTTTATTGCCCTTCATGTATTCTTTTCCTATTCCTCTTCTTTATCAAAGCCTGACATAAGAATAAGCTCTCAGTTATTCCTACTAATATGTAGCTGCAAAGACCTTTGATACCTTTCCCAGAAGAGATATTTACATTTCAAGGAGGTATAAACCCTTAACTCCACCGTGCCCCCTAAAAAAAGTTTAAAAAAGGAGGCATTTATATCTCATTTTACAGTTTACAAAGTTCTGTTATCTCATTTTATCCTCATAGCAATCCTGGGAAGTAGGTGCTATTATTATCCCCATTTTACAGATGGGGAAACTGAGGCAGATAGCAAGGTTTTTTTTTTAATGATTTACCCATTTGTCTGGTAAGGAATAAATTCCTTGTCTTATATTTTGGTCATCAGCAAGTTTTTGAGGATGAGATGTAGTTAGAGACAAGATCTTCTTAGAACCCTTGAAATCATATCACTGTAAAGAATTGAAATATTTTTTTTTCTGCATTATATACTTCATGCTGCCAAATCTCTTTTGATTCAACTGTAAGATGAGGGGATTAGAATTGGACTAGATAATTAGTCCCTAGGTCATCTCTAGTTCTAAAATTCTACAATCATGACTCTGTGAACTGGCCTTCTTCAACCTGGAAAAGGATATAGGAAATGCTTGAGGGATAAAACTAATCATCATATATAAGGCAGAGGTCATATTTATGACAGTAACTCTTTTCTCTAGTGCTTTATGCTTTATAAAGTATCTTTTTCCTAAGAGGGAAGGATCGAAAAAATTATCCCCATTTCACAAGGGAAACTGAGTCACTGTGACATGAAATGACTTACCTACTCTGTAAGTGTCAAAACTAGAACTCAAACCCAGGTCATAGAAACATAGCTCTGGTCTGATCCCCTCATTTTACAGGTAAGGAAACTGTGTCACAGATTGGTAAGTGACATTTGACTCCAAATCCATCTGTCTGACTGTTGTATCTTCTAAGACCAATACTTTATCCATGCTGCTACTCAGCTATGTCAGAGAGTTCTTAACTATTGAAATATCATTAGTTTCCTTTGTAGTATTATGTATTTTTTTAATGCATTTGAAGACTTTCTGAGGAGTCCATAGGCTTCACCAGACTGCCAGAGTCGTCCAGAACACTTGAATATAAAAGATCTGCATCCTCTTCCCCTTTATCCCTTTACTGTGAGGAGACAGGCTGAGGCCCACAGTAAGTGTCACTGCCAATGCTGGATGAAGGTCTTTCAATTCCACTTATCGTATGTCATATGTCATCTGTTTTTCCCCTCTGTCCCGCCCTCCATCATGACCACTGTTGTCCACTCTTCATCCTTTCCAGTTACTCACACCTCTGTAGAGTCCGCTGAGCTTTCAGCATGCAGTTGGAGATGAAGCCATAATGGCTACATGTAGTAGTTGTTCCAGATCTCCCAGTGACTATGGCTTGGTGTGTCGGGTGTTGACCTCTATTGGCCCAGCAGCTATAATCAATTATGGATGTAGGCAATGTGAGAGCCTGATGCCTGCCTGCCAGTAGGGGTGGACGGGGACATAAGCTAGGTAATGAGCACCCTCGAGTTTATTGACTCTACCTCTTGAGCTTTGGAGAAACACAGATAGTTGACTCAGTTTGTAGGTTACTTTGACTGATCTTTTGACAGATACATTTTGCTTTTGAAGCAAGACATTCTTTCTAATTCTGGGAGTAATAGTAAGTCCACTTGCCTTTGTGCCTCATCACTTGTGCCAGAATTCACCTGAGGTAAGGAATTACCTGAAATCTCTCAGCTTCCCAGTAAAAAATACCTGGGGGGAGGTGAAATGGGATTCTTTATTTTTATAGGCTTGAGGGATTTCACAGAAGGCTGGCATTCCAATAATATTAATTTCATTAAAGCTGGAATGTAGGGCTACATTCCTCCCCTGAGAGGCTTGGGGCGTGTGTGTGGGTGGGTGGATTGGTGCAGGAAGGCTCCTTGCCCAGCAGCTGAACTGAAAATGGGAAGGCCAGAGCTGTGAAAGAGGCATTCAGGCATTCTCTGACCAATTAAATGAAGTTGGTCCTGCCTAATGGTCCAGAGGCCTTCAAACTGGAGAGAGTCTTCCCACACAGCCCCTACTTGAGTTTTCCAGGCAGCTGGGTCAATCTTGTTTTGTTTTATTTTGTTTTGTTTTCCCCAATTCTCCACTAAAGTGGGGAAAAAACATTGGCAGATAATGAGCTGAATTTGCATTTTCACTCCTTCAAGGATGCCTTTGAGAGCCTGCCTTCTTAGGATGCTTGTTTCTGCCCCTCTTTTCAAGTCTTTTTTTTTTTTTCCCGCAAGCCTTGTTGCTGTATATTCCCTCTTTCACAAGGAAGGAGTGGATAGGAAAACACAGCTTGATATTCCAGGGCCTAATTATTAGAATACAGACAGTTCCATACTTCTGAGGCCTGAGACTGTTCTTGGGCATTCTTTCTGAAGAAGTTGGAAAGCAAACTTCAAAACAGTCGTGACTGACTGAATTACAAATTTCTTTCCTCTCCTGTGACTTAGAAGCATAGATGTTAGAGACCATTATAGATGAGAACTGAGGCCCACGGAATGGCCTGCCCAAGGTCATATAGATTTGATGCCTTGAGTGGACTCTTAGAAGGTATGGCGTTTCGTCAATAATTTTTATGAATTTTCTCTCTTTTAACCTTTAACATCCTTCAAGCAGAAAGGGGGGGAAAAGAGTAGGAGAAGGATGGAGGTTATAGGGAAAACAGTATGGCAACAGGGGAAAGAGTTTTGTGGAAAGAATAGGGAAGAAAAAAATGGACATCGGTAGCAGTCAGATTTGCTGTTGAGGTAACTTGCTAAATGGTCCCCCTACTGATAGAAGGAACGTGCATTTTTAAAGCCTGGTCCCACGTGTGTGTGTGTGTATGTATGTATATGCCATTGAGAGGTTGAGAGGGATACACCTTTGTAAAATTAAAGCACTGTATAGGTAAATGTGAGAAAAAGCTGTTATAATCATGCAAGGGTTTTTGTGTTCATATTATTCAGGTTGGTCCACTTGTGAATTGGTCATCTTACATAGCATTGTAGATATTTTGAAATGAGTCACTTTGTAGTCATAAGAGTCAAGAATCAGAATTTTAGAACTGGATGGGAACTTTGAAGTGATCCAGTCCACCCCTTTTCTGTTACAGATGAGAAACTGAGGCTTAGAAGAGGTCATGTGATTTGTTAGTGGTCTGCATAGTGACCAGTGCTCTGCTTAGTGGTCAGGGGCAAAACTCGAGTCATCTTTCTTATATGACCACTGTTTTTAATCTGAGTCTTAAAAACCATTAAAAAAGAAATTAAAAAAATGAAAACAGTATTAACATTACTTTCCTCACTTAAGGGACATTTTGGTAGAGTTTATGGTCATCACCCCGGCTGACTTTGGATCTGTGACATTTTCTTATTTGGGGCATTCCCCCTACTGACATAGATATCGTTCCTGAGCCCTCCATACAAGCCAGACCTTCCATCTGTTGTCTTTAGTTTTTGTTATATGACCAACTCACTTCCATTTCCCATATTTATTTTAATGCTTCCCGAGGGCAAGTCTAATACTGCTTAAACCCAGTAGGTGCTTTGCCACTTTACTTACTGGTAATTTTGTTTCTACCAAAGTTGTGGCTTTCTCAAAATTGGTAAGTTAGCATCCACAAGAAAATATCAGTGTAAAAAAATATGAGGTATTGGGCAATTTAAGATATTTGAAGGCATTGCATGATTTTCCCAAATGTCATCCATCCTGATCTCTTGACCCTAGCTCATTGTTTATCTACAATGTCTGTTCAAGATATCTGTATGTATGTTTCTGTGTGGGGATGGGGATGGGGAAGCAGGCTACCTACTGGGCTACTTATCTAGCTGCATAGCACAGTCTGGGGAGTATGAGTTTCTATTCTTTTTGTTTTTCCAGTGTGGATAGTTAGACCTCTCTGACCAACTCTATAATAATCATGTTCTTATTCAACTCTACAGTGAAAGTTCCCAACCAGCCACAGTATACCAGGAGATGCTTTGATAGCACTGACAACTGTTTTTGTTAACTTTGCAGACAATGAATACGTATTCATGGACCTAGAGCAAAAGCTCAGCAAATACTTTCTGAAGGACTGGAAGAAAGAGATATATAAAGTAAGTTCAAGGTGACTGGAACTTGGGAACCAAAAGGTTCAAGCAGAACCCAGGAATAAGCTATTGGTGGAAGGTTTGAGATCTAGGTCTTCTTGGGAGAATCATCCAGTAAGCATTTATTAAGCATAAAGTATGTGCTAGATACTCTCCTATGTGTTAGGGGCACAGAGACCAAACAACAACAGAAACCCAGTTCCTGCTTTCAAGGAGTCAAAATAAGAATATGTGAAGTATATACAGGTAATTTCGGGGGGAACCACTAGGAGCTGGGGAGTGCTGAGAAAGTGGTTTTCTCAGGGGGCAGTTTAAGTTTTGGCCAATATTATATTGTGGGTAGCTAGGTGGTACAGTGGATAGAGTGCTGGGCCTGAAGTTGGGAAGGTTCATCTCCCTGACATCAAATCAAATCTGCCCTCAGATACTTACTAACTGTGTGACCCTGGGCAAACTCTGTTTGCCTCAGTTTCTTCATCTGTCAAATGAGCCAGAGAAGGAAATGGCAAACCATTCAGATTCCAGTATCTCTACCAAAAAAACCCCAAAAGGGGTCACAAAGAATTGGACAGGATTGAAAACGACTGAACAAGAAATAACATCACATTGTACCAACTCAGAAGACCTGACTACTTAAATTCTTACACTGCTTCCATAGTCACACCTATAGTTCTAGCTTCATGTGCAGTCAACAAGTATTCATTATGAACTTGCTATGTGTGTGGGGGGCATATCTAAGTTTAAACGATTCCACATTTTATAATTATTTTTGTCATTCAGTCTGCCATGGATTTTTCAAAATTTTTTGGTGATTATTTTATGCTGCGTGTGTGTGTGTGTGTGTGTGTGTGAGAGAGAGAGAGAGAGAGAGAGAAAGAGGGAGGGAGATCTGTTTAAGTACAAAAAAATTGACTTGAAATTTAGGTTTAGGTGAAGGGAAGGAAACTAGTTGAGACAATAGTTTAGGCAAAGTATAAGAGCACGAAATAAATTCACAGAAAATATAAAGGGTGGGAGGAGTGTGGTGTTCAGATGGTGATATCCAGAGTATGAAAGCTATTGGGTAATTCATTTGTATTTCTTCTATAACCATCCTTACAGGGAAATGAGAAGTCCAACCCTCCTTTTGTTGCCTTCTTCAGAGTACAATACTATGTGGAAAATGGGAGAATTATAAGGTACTCATTATTTATATATTCATTTTTATTGGTTTATTTTAACATTCTTTTTAATTTTGAGAAAGCAAATAATGTGATACCCATTTATGTATTCATTTTAAAGGACTTTAGAGTAAGAGTGAGAAGCTGGGATTCTATGGAGGTGAAGTGGAAGATGTCTATGTATCTTTAAAACTGGAGTTTACTCTGACGAGGAGAAAATATTTCACTTGGTTACTGGGTTTTGGTTTCATTCAGTTCCATTTAACTGGAAATTGATGGTGCTTGATTAATACACGACTAAGCCCCAAAACCTAAGTAAACTTACTACGTGTTTCAGTTTTGTTTAAGATGAAACCAGACAAACCAACCAGAAAACACGCCTCAGTGATGTTGGGTGGAAGTGGCTTTTTTTCCTGTCCAAAGTGGCGCTGCGTGTTCTCTGCGTCGCTGCCCACAGCCACAGACGTTTGCCTTTGGCTCCTCCCCTGTAGAGAGTCAGGTTTAAGAAGGCTTAGCCTGAAGGGATTATACATTTGAGTGGGTTCCATTCACATGGAATAAGGACAGCATTCTAGCTGAACCTCCCAGTTTCTTCCTAGTGGAACAAAAGGGCTTTTTTAATGCTATCATCCAGGGCATTCTGTGAATATTATCCAAAAGCTGGAAGCATTTTGGTGAGTTTGAAACCAGCCAGACCCACCATCCCCACCCACTGCCTTTCTCCTGTCCTGGTGAAGCTGCCCTCGACTGGTTTCTCCTCACACAGTTGTCCCACTTCAAACCTTTCTGACCAGGAAGAGAACCATTAAAGACAACAGCAACACCCTAGAAAGCCATGGTTGGAAAACTTTTAAAAGTGGCCAGCTGTGGTTCTAACCCCTCCTCTTCTGGTGTGACAAGAAGATGGGACAAAGGAAAAAAGAAAACTAGCATGATTCTGAGGTACCCTCAATTCAGTGCAGCAGAATTCCCCTTTGCCAGGAATGCAGAAATGGACCGTAGTAAAGCCTCCTTCCTGATGGAGCTTACAGTTGAATACAAGGAATAAGTTGTGTTCTCAAAGAGAATATAATTTATACTGTGGCAGCTGCAGAGGAAAGATACAAACTTAGGAGGAAACTGGAGAGGGAGAGACCACTTTCAGCTGGGGGAAAAGGGAGACCTGTGCTAATGGGTCCTTACGTGGACAGTAAGGATGGACAGAGGAAAGATGGCCTGTGTGAAGGCACCCAATTATCAAAGGTCAAGTTGAGGAATAATTAGCTGTTCTCTAGTTTGTCTGAAATATAGAGTTGGTTAATAAATTAGTGTGAAGTAAGATAGGAAAGGTAGGTTGGAGGGACATAGTGTAGAGGACTTTGAGCACACCAGACTTTTGGCTTTCCAGAGGGGTTTGGAGAGTAGGGTGGCTGCTCTGCCCACTTTGAGTGGGCAGAGACTCACAAGAGCTAAGAAGGGAAGAGGGTGACAGGTGGCGGCTGACCTTGGGTGCTAGTTAAAATCAGCCCACTTGCCACCTTTAACAGTAAGCTGCCACCCTCAAATCTAAAGTGCAGTGGCAATGGTACTCGAGGCAAAAATTATGAAGCGTATTCTGACCTATATGGGCACCTCTTAGATATGTAATGTTAATTAATTACAGGAGACTAAAGGTTAAACCAATCAGTCAATATGTCCATTTGTTAAGTGTCTGCTGGGTGCTGGTGATATGGTCAGGATGCAAGGGGCAAGGAGTAGACATAAGTTGGGGATTTTTTGTATGTTTTTATTTTGTCTTTTCACCTAGGAATTTGGAAGGAGAGATATGGGATGGTAGCTTGAGGGGATAATAAGGTTCAAAGGTTCTTTTAAGGATAGGGAGGAATTGAACCCGTTTATTGTCTGCAAGTAAGTAGCTTTTAGATAGTGAGGAAGTAAAGATTAGGGAGAGTAGCTTGACTGATTGGTTAAAGGAAAACTAAGACTTACCTGGTGGACAGGAAAGTAACTGGTTACGTGAACAAATTCCAAAGGGCATTAGGAAAAGCCACTGAATGCAGGCTTTTCCCAAAAGGGTGTTTTCTGTGGGCCCCTTGGGGGAGAGGGGTGGGGGAACCTTAATAGAGTCCGATCACTGAGTTCGGAATCAAGAGGTCCAAGTTTGAATCCCAGGTCCACTCCTTAGTTGTGTGACCTCAGACAAGAACCTTAGCGTGATATTTAAATTTTTGTTGTTATTTTATTATTATTAACAGTGTTGGCTGAGTCTCAGAATATACAAAATAAATGCAAAGTAATTGGGCCAGAGGAGGCATGAGCACATGTGGAGCTGAGAAAAACTTCATGGAGATAATGTTTAAGCTGAATTTTGAAGGAAACTCTGCAGAAGTGGGGAGGGAAAGCATCCTTAGTGTGGGGGACAGGACGGTCAGTGCAGAGGCATGGAGGAAGTAAATGGCATGGCACTTGTGAGGAACAGCTGAACTCAGCAGTATATACAAAGCGGAGTAAGGTGAAAGAAAGCTATAAAGACAGGTTGGAGCCAAGTTGTGAACAAGCTTCAAATGCCAAAATAAAAGTTTGTATCCACTTCTAGAGGTAACAGAGGCAGATCAGGAACATGACATGGTCAGTCCAACCATGCTTAAGAAAGATCACCTGAGTAACCATGGGGAGGATAGATTAGAGACAAGAGAGACTTGTGTTAGGGAAATCAATTAGGAGGCCATTGCAGGCGTCTAAATGAAAGGTGGCATGAATCGGTGTGTTGGCCATGTAAATAGAGGTGGGGGGAAGGCTAGTGAGAGATGAAATGCAGGCCACATCCGTGAGAATTGGCGGCTGTGACTGCATATCCAGGGTGAGGGAGGTTGTGAACCTGAGTGACTACAAGGATGGTGATAGGGAAGTTATAAACATGAGCTGTTATAGTTGTTACTATAATTTATTATGATGATTATGCAATTGGTAATAATCCAAAGTAAATATTTCATTATAAGTAGCTACAGTTGGAAGAATGACAACATGGCTGATGTTCTTGGGAATCGTAGATCTAGAACCGGAAGGAACCTCCTGGGCCACTGAGTCCAACCTTACATTATGAGGAGGTGCAGAGTCCCAGAGAACTTGTCCAGTGTCATACTATTAGTAAATGGTATAGTCAGGATTCAAACTTGAGCCTTCCCATTCTAAAAACCAGCCTTCTTTCTACTTTGCTGCACTGTCTTAATGTCTGCTATGCTCATTGTACTGAATCAGTTCAGAGTAGAGAAATAAAAATGATCCAGATCCTGGTGTGTGTGTGTGTGTGTGTGTGTGTGTGTGTGGTGTGTGTGTATACACGTGTACACAGGCACGTGCAAGAATGGCCTGGGTTCCTGCTATCCAGGTTCAGAGCAGAGCTGCCCTTTGGGTTACCCTCTACCCACGACATGGTGGCCTATGGCCCAACCTCAGCTATGGGGCTTCCTTGGCACTTGGACTTCATCACACTCAGCTGTTTTCTCCTCTCATGTTCTAGTGACAAGGTCGCAAGACGTCTGTACTACCACCACCTCAAGGAGCAGGTGCTGAGGTCCCAGTGTACCCACAAGGAGGAAGTCTACTTCCTGTTGGCTGCCTATGGGCTGCAAGCAGACTTGGGCAACTACAGAGAGAGCACACATGTGGGGAAATATTTTGAACCTCATTCCTACTTCCCTCAGTGGGTAAGATTTTCCTTTCTATTTATAAGGTAGCTTAGGGAGGCCTGCTGCCCAGGAGATGATAAAATTTCCCTGCCACGTTTCCTTATGTGGCTTCTCTCACAATTACTCCACCTTTGCTAACCTTTTGCTCTGTAACATCCACTTGCAGGTGCAAAGGGGATAAAGAGAAGAGGCTAAGGACAAAGGCAAAATGTTGGACAATAGGAGAAATATCTTGAGCTTCTGGCTTCGTTGTTTTTCCTATTTTTTTTCTTTAAATTGAGTCCTCTGTCCATTTTAAAAAGAGCACTATTGTCAGAGGACCTGTATTCAAATCTTACCCAACATTGTGACTTTGGGCAAGTCACAGCCTTCCTGGGCTTCTGTTTCTTCATCTGTAAGAATGAGGAGGTTGGTCTATGTGGTCTCTGAGCACCCTTCCAGCTGTCACAGGACCAAGATGATGCTTTTCTCAAAGAATTCATGATATAAGTATAAGGTTTCTATGGAGTCTACACGTTCCTTATTCCTATATTTTTCAACATCTACCCTCATGCCTTTTTTCCTTCCTCTTCTTTGATTTAAATAAATGGAGGACATTGTAGAGGGTTTAATGGGAAGGGTTCCAGGCTTGTAGTCAGATTCTCGTCCCTTCTCTGCCCCTTCCAGACAATACCCATGGAGAAATCGCTATCTAGCTGGTCAACAGTGCCTGACACTCACAGTTGACTGGAAACTGAGTAAAGCTGATACAAACATATTTTATAAGATCCTGTCTCTGTCCTCAAGTAGCTGCCTTGTTTAGTTAGGGAATGCATAGAAGAGACAGACAGACAGTAGTAAGTAGCATGCTTGATTTTCAGTAACAAATAAATGATATGGATGAGAAATCAAAGCGAGGCTTCCTGGAGGGGGTGGGACAGGAATCATAGAATGTTAGTACTAGAAAGGACTTTAGAGATCATCTAATCCATTCTCCCTGTTTTATGAACCTGAAAACTGAAACTCACAAAAGTATTAGGCCATAGTCAGAAGCCACATAACTGCTAAAAACAAACAAACAAATAAATAAATAATAAGAATTTAAAATTAAGATTTAGATTTCATTTTAAATTAAATTTTAATTGAGATTTCATTTTCATTTTAAATTAGATTTTTAAAAACAATCACATAGTTAACAGTACCTGGGCTAGAGAGATGAATGGATTTTGACTAAGACCTGGATTCAAATTCCAGCCTTGCTTTTCAGTGCCTATTCATTTGAAAGTAAGTCACATTGGATTTCTTATCAATAAAATGTCAGAATTAGCTGAGCTGATCTCAGAGGTCCTTTGCAGCACTAAATTCTGAGATCCTGGGTCTTAAAGGGAAGGATGGAATTAGGCAAGTCAAGTGGGGTGGGCAGGGAAGGGAAGAGAGCTGCTGATTTGGCCTTCTTTCTGTAGATTATCACAAAGAGAGGGAGGGACTACATCCTAAAACACGCTCCAGAGATTCACCGAGAGCAGCAGGGGATGACCACCAGAGAGGCCGTGTTGAAGTTCATCAAGGAGTCCTGTCTGCTGGAAGATGTGCCTGTTCATTTTTTCAAGTTACAAAAGGTTGGGCAGAACATGGGAAGACCATCTTTAATCCATCATCTGCAAGTGAATCAGGGGTTAACCCTGATGAGCTACACTCCTTTTTTATGTGTCTCTTCTACCAAGAAGCCACAATGTTTATACAAGAGATGGGGCTGTTAGTTCCTGTCTGTCGGTGGTGGTGAAGTCTTCCCGCTTCTTGGGGATGGGGTCTAAAATGCTGCGTAGGTACTCTTTGGGGGGAAAAAACAACACGCATTTGGTTTCCACTAAAAAATTCCATTTTCAAATTCAATCAGACATTGGTCAAATGAGATGATTTGATTGAATAAGGTGCTTTCTAAATCTTAAATAGTGCTCTGTAGAAATTAACTAGTCCAGTCTCCCCATTTTACAGGTGGTGAAACTAAGGCTCAGAAAAGTGACAGGACTTAATAATTATTGTCTGTCATGAGCCAGAGTTTGGCTGGAATGCTTCTCTGGCAGAATCATAAAAGATGATGGGAAAATTCCATTGTGATTCTTAAAAAGTTTTACAACAAAAGAGTCCCAAAGATTTAGACCCTACCATGGCCTTAAATGGAGGTAAAGAGATGTGGGGGGAGATACATAGAGTTCCAGGACAGAGTTAGCATTAGGACAAAAGGACTAAGGGAATGTGTATGAGAAGGGACCTTCCTGGGCACAGAGACTAATTTTTTGCCGGTAAGGGAGGTACCAACTTAGGAAAATCTTTACCTGTACATCTGTAAGGCCTTTGGATCTAGGGCAGACTGAGAATCTTACTGAGTTTTTGTTGATTCTGTAGACAGTCCCCAGCAGTTTTCTTCTATCATGTCAATCCCTGGGGGGGACAAGAGCTGTTTGTCTAGTAGTGGCCAGAAGGTACCCACAGCTTGTTTCTTCATTTCCCTGAATCCCCACTCGTATCTCATTTTACCCTGATAACATTCACGAGGGGAAGGTATCAAGTTATCTGAGGGATGGTTGGGGAAAATAAATTTCACGTTTGGCTTCAAGCCTAATGTTAGTTTAACCTCTCATCTGTCATGCCTCTCCTCCCCATCCCCAGCCTGTGCTTTCTCTCCACCAATATCTTTTCCCCCTTATTTGACTATAGGAGTTCTTTTAAGAGGTGAGGAGTCCACCTATGAGGAAGGAATGCCTAGGATCTATTTTCAAGGATATAATATAGTTTCTATCCAGGGAGCCCAGAGGCAAGCCCAGGGTGGCTTTTGGGTGATTTAATCACAGCCTGTGTTTGCCTTGTCGGTGCACTTCTGTTTCCTGGGTAGTCCTGTCTGCCAAGGGCCTTCCCATCAATGTGCGTGTGATAAAAGCAGATTGGGGGGTTGTAGTGGTATTTATGCTCCTTAAATTAGGCTGGGTGATGTAATCATTTATAAGAGGCTAGAGCCTTGGCAATTATTGTTTGGAAGACCTGGGCATGTTGGTTGTGTGAATAGCCACAGGCACCCTACAGACTTAGGAAAGAGGCTGCAGATCAACCTGTTGGTTCTTGCTTTTCCTGTGGGTGGATTTGTGGAGCTGGCCTGTTTCTTAGGGAGGCTGCCCAGATGGATCCCTTTGTGGTGTTTGTACCCATAGTCCTGGCCTGTTCCCAGGCCGGATGTGGCAGTTGTGTTAGTGTGTATTGAAATGGTTATGTCCTTATGTGAAGACATGAGCAGGATGTGTAAACTAGATCATCCTATTAAGATAAGTTTTTGAAAGTCTGCTCACTCAGATTATGTCCACGTTGGATAGGTTTAGTGAAGGCTGGCCTAGTTTTCCTTAGAACAGGTAGGGTTCAGTAAGCTCAGCTTGGCCTAGAATTTAAGGTCAGAGGCCCTTTGTTGTACAGACTAGAACCATGCCCTTCATACCAGGATAATCAATGTTATGCCTTACAAGGACAAACCCCCTTTTTTCCCCCCATGACAAGGCCAATAGCAGGGGTCAGTACTACCATACCTAGGCCCTCTCAGGGAAAAAGACCCGAACAACAGGAATTAAGCTGGAGGGCATGAGCACCTGTGCTTGAGCTGTAAGCTGGCTTGATTGGGGGAAGCAAGGGCATGTGTACCTACACACATTCCCAAGTTTCATCTCAGGCTTTGGGTGCAACTTTGCCTGGAAGGGAGGAAACAGACATAGAGGGGCTGCAGAAGAGAAAGAGATGAGCATCAGGTACAAAAACGCTCAGTAGATAGAATTGTTCAGCAGGTTCTACAATCTCCCATTTATTTCCCCTGCACATACCCTGTCCTATAAAAGAGCAGTTGGGCAATGGTATTCTGGATCCCCTCTCCCCCTCCCCAGCCCCATTGTTTCCCAGGTCCAAACATATAAAGAGTAAATGATTAAGATAGACTTTACTCTCCCCCTCTGTGGGAGTCCTGCTCTCCGATAGGATTGGGAGTGGAAAGAGGAAAAGGGGGTGCTGATGACTGTAAGGCTTTGTTCCATAGACGCTACACTCAATACAGTTGAAAGGTGTTATTGACACAGCACCATGCCTCAGGTGTATTCTGAATTAAATGGGCATTTGTGGTATAGCCTGAGGACCTAACTCCCATGTAGTCCATTGTTTCTATTAAAATCATGTTGAGGTTTCCAAATAATGTTTCTCAAATAGACACATGGCAGGGGCTCACTTTCCCACTGAAACATGGAGCTTTGCTTTCGATTTCCTGAAGAAGTTTGTAGCCTCTGTCTGTAGTCTATCCAGTTGCCGAACTCCAGGTACAGCAATGCCTCCTCATCAGATGGGGCGATAGCCAGTGGTACAGTGAGGCTTTATTTAGTTTGTTTTAGGAGAACTTCCTAAGTGAATCTCCCTGCTTGAGGAATGTGGGAAGCAATGTTTTGCCTCATAGGTCAGGCAGAGACCTGGATTTTGTCTAGGAAAAGGCAGTTATGACCTTTGCTAATCACAGATAACACCTTGTCAGTAGGCAAATGACCTCAAACATTCAGAAGTGAGAAACGACACCGCCTCCCCACCCCATTTCCCCCCATACACAGAAACAGACACGTACACAGACACATCTAACCACCATCTCTCAGTGAGAGTCATCCGCTACGTTCAAATGTCAGCTGACCCTGTGGCATCCTCTTGATTTGCTAGGAATATAGCTTGTGTGTGCATAGCTAGGCACACACACAACTTTTGACCCTGCTGACTTTTTGTGTCCTTTTAGGATAAGAAGGAAGATCGACCAACAATTGTCCTGGGTCTGACCCTAAAAGGAATGCACATTTATCAGGTAATGGAAGAAGCTTTAGCTCCTCATCTTCGCACACAGACCTTTTCTTCCTCACCCTCCCAACCCTACCCTGAAGGCAAAACTACTAGGCCATGTGCATTGTTAACATTCTTCACCACCACCACCACCCCTTGCCCAAAGGCAATCCAGACTCCATCCCCCACTTCTGGGCTCATCCCGGATTCTGGCCAACCCCACACCAGGTTATGTTTGTTATTTTACAGGAAGTAAACCATTCTCGGCAGCTTCTCTATGACTTCCCCTGGTCACATGTTGGAAAGCTGGCATTTCTTGTGAGTATAGAGGCACACCAGTGACATGATGTAAATGTGGAGCATTGAGCCAGAAGACTGTGCAAATATATATGATCATGAAAACATTCAGACATTTACTAAATATGTACACCATGTGTCTAGACACTATGCAAGGCATTATGATCCCTGGCCTATAGAAGCACTATATATCTAGATATAGATATATCTTTCTATCTATCTACATGTGTGTGTGTGTGTGTGTGTGTTACATATATGATGTATATAGAGAGAGAGAGACAGAGGGAGATACACACATGTTGATGATGTTGTGAGGAGGGTTATGTAGTGTTGAGAGGAGTGGAGCGGTGGATTCACAGAGATGTAGGAGGAAATGTGTGCTTTCATCCTCATAGACTCAGAGACAGAGTAGACCTTAGAAGTTAGACTGTCCAACCCCCTCTTTTTTTTTTTTGATAGATCAGGAAATTGAGGTCCAGAGAAGCTAAAGTGATTTGCCCAGCCTCTCCAAGACAGAAAATAGCCAGGCTGAGATTCACACTCAGGTCCTCTGCCTCCAAATTCAGAGTTCTTGACATTGTTCCACATTGCTGCTCACTTTGGCCTCCTGAGTGGGGCCTGAAACTTTCAGTTTCTTTTAAGGGTCCTCTGTGTCTGACGTCTATTCCAGATTCTTACCGTGACTTGGCGTGGTATTATACCTAGTGTGAAAATTGCCACTTATGCATGTGCCATGCCCCCTTCTTCTCCTCTGCCCTTTGTCATAAGACCTGTCATGGCCATGAACTCATCATCCATCCTGAGTCCTTGTCCCATCCGGTGACCACCAGGATGAGCAGTGGGCCTGGCCTGTCAAGCTGTGGATTGGAGGGAAGAGAATAGCTCCCAAGCCTAGGAGCCTTTTAGAGCATCATGTCCCTTTGATTCCAAGAAGGCCAACTTTGTGTTTTACTCAGGGGAAAAATTTGAGATCCAGCCAGATGGTTTGCCTTCTGCTCGGAAACTGGTCTACTATACTGGCTGTCCGTTCCGCTCCCGGCACTTACTCCTGTTACTCAGTACCAGCCATCGGCTCTACCTGCATGTCCAGCCAGTGCTGAAACAGATCCGGCAGCTGGAAGAAGCAGAAGGTAGGCTGTGAACGAGGAGGAGAACAAAGCATTTGGGTCCCTGTGAAGAAAGCTTTCTCGTGTCTCTTTGGCTTGGTGGCCTGTTTAAGTTTGAGAGTTCAGTAAGGAAAAGGGCCAGGAGATATGTGTGCAAAAGCTCTATTCCAAATGTTTGGATCAAAGAATTATCCCACATGGAGCCTGTGGCCAGATGGTAGAAATATGTTTCTTTCAAGAATGTGCTGTTCTCCCTTTTTCCTGGGTGTACTTTCTTGTTTGGGAGAGGGATGAGGAGTTTATCTTTTCTCAAATCTTTATCATTGCCCCCATTTTTAATAGTAGCACTTTCCTAGAAACAGGTTCCTATTGCATTCCCTTCATCAGATGTAGGGTTGATGAAAAAATAACTGGAGACTAGGCCAGCAAATCTTCCTGTCTTATTTCTGCCCCCACCCCACCTCAAATTCTTCCAATTATTTTTTTTTGGGGGGTGAGGCAATCGGGGATAAGTGACTTGCCTAGGATCACACAGCTGGTAAGTGTTAGCGTCTGAGGCCAGATTTGAACTCAGGTCATCCTGACTTCAGGGCTAGTGCTCTATCCATTGCACCACCTAGCTGCCCCATTCTTCCAACTATTTTAAGAGACTTGTTGTTTAGTGATTTTCAGTCATTTAATCATTTAGGCATTTTTGACTCTTTGTGGCCCCTTTTGGAGTTTTCTTGGCAAAGATACTGGAGTGGTTTGCTGTTTCCCTCTCTGACTCATTTTACAGGTGAGGAAACTGAGGCAAACCGGGTTAGATGACTTGCTCAGAGTCACACAGCTATCAAGTGTCTGAGGCCGAATTTGAACTCAGGTCTTCCTGCCTCCAGATCCAACTCTATCTACTGTGCCACCTCTATTTCTAACACCTACAGAAACTGAAATTCTAAATTGGTTCCCCTTCCAGATAACATCTGTTGGATTCACTTAAATTCCCTTTTGTCTCAGAGTATTCAAGGCCTTCACCTGACTACCAAGCTTAAGTTTATGCCTCTTCCATTACCCTGAATGTTACAGTCAAATTGAGTCCAAAGGACTCTCACCCAGTTTGTGAGGGCCAGCATTCCTGAGCTAGAGCTGTTGTCTGTATGAGGAGGAGCTGGAACTAGGGAGATGGCTTACAGTGTGATGAATGGGCAAAGCCTACACATTCCTTTCATCTGTAATGAATCCATTTAGCTGAGCTCTGCAGTACCTCAGATCCGGTTGCCAAGAATTCCGAATGCCTCCATCTGTCCTGGTCTTCCCAGCCAGCCCTTGGCTCTTTTGCTATTACAGAGAGAAACTGGTCTTAGACCCCCATCCTCAATTTCTCCTTCTGTAAACTGGGTTGAGGAAAGAATTTTACCAAGATTTGTCTTGTGCTTCTCTGGAGAGTAGCCTTTCAAAAGGCAACTGATAATGATGGTAATTAATTGGAATTAGCATTTTATGATTGGATTCACCTTGAGCTGAAAGAGGAGGAAGATTGGACTTAGAACTTTGATTTGTTTCAGTCTCCCCAAACTATAAGCCACATGTGGGAGTGTTTGAAGGGAAATTTCTTCCCTTGCTGCCAGAGTGGGTGTGGTGAAGGGGAGGAGGGAGTGCCCTCTTTGGCAGCCTCGTAGTAAGCCATGATAGCAGGATGATAATTTCTGTAGAAAAGATCTGTGTGTGTCACCATCTTGGATGCCCTGTGTTCTGTCTTCTTGGATCCCAGGAAATGATAACAGTTTTATTCTGGGGGTTTTTTTTCATCCTTATGCCCCAACGAGGGACAGAGATGGGGATTGGACCAATGAGGAACCTACTTTCAGTAGATTTCATTGGTTTATAGTATTTCCAGGTGAGGAAACTCCCTCCACCAGTACAGGCTGCCACCTTCATTTTTTTCACCTATTTTTTAAAAAAAATTTCTGAACTTAATCAGTACCAAATAAGGTAAACACTTCTACATACCAAATAGAACAGAAAAAGAATGCCACAAACGAAGCTTGAATCTGTATAATGAACTGCTTGCTTTTCTCTTAAAGTGCGTATGTTCTCCATATTTCCAAGCCTGTCCTGCTTGTCAGTGTTTCCTGTTGACTTTCTATTTTTAGTTAACCACATCACTGTCTTTCCTTCTTTCTTTGTAACTCCCCCTTCCAAATTTGAAGGAAAAATAAAACCCTTGCATTAGAGAGAAATAATCAAGCCAAACAAATCGCCACATTGACCCCCATCTAAAAATGTCTTCCTCATTCTGCACTATAGCAGGCTTTTTCACAGGTCCCATGGAATCATGGCTACTATTGCATTGATCAGAGCTTGTAAGTCCTTAAGTCTTTTAAGGATTTTTGTTTTTACAATATTGAAGTTATTGTAAAAAAAATGTTCTGGTTATACTTTACTCTGTGTAAGTTCATGTAACATTTACTTTTGTGTTTCTTAATGGCATAACAGTATTACCTATTACCATGACGTTAAAAAACCATAATTGGTTCAATTATTCCACATTTGATAGGCATCTGCCTAGTTTCCAGCTCCTTACCACTATTTGTATACTTTTCCTCTTTCTTTGATGCCTCGTATTGATGTCATGGGTCAAAAAGTATACACAATACACAGTTTGGTGACTTGATTGGTTCCAGTGGACTTCCAGAATGGCTGGACCAGTTCACAGCACCACTGTATTATATTAATGTGCCTGTTTTCCATAATCCTTTGAACAATTATCATTTTCCTTTTTTGTCAACTTGGACTATGGGTATAGGTTTTGTCAATTTGGTGGGTGTGAGGTGTGCAACCTCATAGTTTAGTTTGCATTTCTCTTATTAATATAAGTGATTTAGAGATGTTTTTCATATGGCTACTGGTTTTCTCCCAGCTTGTCCATATACTTGATCTATTAGGGAATGGTCTTTGTTCTTAAATTTGAATCGACTCTGTATATATCTTGGATGTCAGTGCTCTGTCAAAGAAAGTTTTTGGAAAGATCTTCTCCCCATCTAACTCCCTTATAATTATAACTATTAATTTTATTTGTGCAAAAGCTTTTCAGTTTTATGAAATGAAAATTGTCCATTTTCTGTTGTGTGATCCTTTCTATCGTCTCTGAAACTTGGGAGTCTTAGAGCAGTCTAGAGTATTTAGAAGTTAAATAATTTGTCCAGGGTCACACAGGCAGTAGGCATCAGAAGCAGGACCCAAACCTAGAAATTTCTGATCTTTGTCCACTGCACTCCTTTGTCCCTCAGGTGATCCTTCTGCATTCCTTTGTTCCTCTTTCGTTTACTGTTTATTTTTGTTTACCTCATTAGAGAAGAAGCGTTACCGAGAGTCGTACATCAGTGACACTCTGGAGATGGACCTCGACCAGTCAGACAAACACTCTCATGGGAGTGGGAGCAGCAGAGGCAGTGGTCGGAACCACCACCGGCTCTCCCACCACTCAACGGATAGCCACGGCAGCTCCCACACTTCTGGCATCGAGGCTGACTCCAGACACCGTGTATCCGTGGAGATGTCTGTGGATGAGCCCTTTGGCATGGAGCTGGGCCACGGTAAAGAAAAGTCCAGCAGCTCTACCACCAGCCACAGCAGTTCTGGCATAGATAGCAGCAGTAAAGGGAGAACTGAGGATGGGGAGTGGGTGGGGGGACCCGAGGACCGGGAATGGGCAAGTTCTGGCCTCCTTTTAAGAGAGAGTACACTTGGTCTGGGGAGAGCTAAGCCAGTTTTCTGGTCCTGAGAGCCAGGGATCTCAGATACCTTTCCTTTGGCTTCTTGTTACTGCAGAGGTGGAGGTGATGGTAGATGGGCCAGAGGCGGTGACAATAGATGATCCATTGGAGAATAACCGATTGGACAAGGCAACCAAAGGAGTGTCAGCAGCTCCATTGACTGGTGGGTTGCATGGCTGTAAAGGTGAGGACAGTATATTTCTGAATGTTCTCATGGAAAGAAGGCCGAACTTGTTGGCACAGTACCTTGATTCAAAGCATGCCTCTTCTCCTTCCAGCCTATTTATGAGACATTAAGTCAGTCATCTAACTTCTCTGAGTCTCCATTTCCTCATAATGTTAAAACAAAAGGATTTGACTTTCTTTTACTTCTAAATCAGCCTAATCATCTGGGGAAAAAAGTCACTAGGAAGCAAATAGCACCATGGTTGAGCTTTGGTACATCCACCTTTCTGAGATGACATATAACAGAGTTCTGTTTGTTCAGAATTCACACAACCAAAAATCTCTTTTAACTGAATTAATCTTTGTGTACATATGTGTGTTCTGCTTTTATGAGAGAAAAGAATAGCAAATACATTGGCTGATATTAGTAGGGTTTTTTTTTTTCCTCCATGGAAATGTCATGGAGTCAGGCATAGCTAGGTAGCACAATGTATAGAACCCTAAGCCTGGAGACAAGAAGACCTGAGCTCAAATTTGACCCCACACACTTGCAGCTGTGTGATCTGTGGCAAATCACTTAACCTCTCTTCGCCTCAGTTTCCTCAACTGTAAAATGGAGATAATAATAGCACCTACTTGTGCTATTATTGTTGTGAGGCTCCAATGACATGTTTGTAAATTGATTAGCACAGTATTGGGCACATAGTAAACACTATGTAACTGTTAGTGATAATGATGACAATTACAACAATAGATTCAATGTTTCAGCATAATCTCTTTTACCTTCCCAGAATGGCCATTGTGATGAGGCTGAGGCATGGCAAAGTGATAACTCCTTGTATTTTTATACTGCTTTAAATATTACAAAGTCTTTTGCTTGTCTGTTTGTTTTTTGTGATATAAGGAGGAAATGCTAAATCTGGACTTGAGGACCTGGGTTCAAGTCTCAAGTCAAGCTCTTCCACTTAACTTCCTGTGTGACTTTGGACACTTAATCTCTTCTTTTCTCATCTGTAAAATGAGGGTATTGGACTAAAGAGCATTGAGGATACCCTCCAGCTCTAATTCTTAGGTTGCCATGAACCTTAAATTGCCATGTACAGTAAGTGGAAGTGGTGCAAAGACTGTTGCCGCCGTTTTGTAGGTGAGAAAAATGAGGCTCATGGAAGCTTGGTGACTTAACCATTGGTTGCACAGCTAACAAATGTCTGAGTTAGGATTCTGATCAACATTACCCGACTTGAAGACTAGTTCTCTTACCACTGAAGCATTGCTAGCCTTAACAAATCTTCTGAATCGTCAAGAAAAAGTTGTGTTCAATGTGGTTTTATGATAATTACTTCTTGAAATATTGACAAATATGGATACATATGAGAAATAATTCTTGAAATATTGAAGATTTGTAAGCTGTTTTGTGAGCAGTCTTCCTCATCTTTGCTTTGGCCTCTTTGACAAGGCAGAAATAAGTAGGTATCAGCAAAGAAATTCCAAGTAGCCTCAAACAGCTCGTTGCCTAATGCATGCAGCAAGGCAGGATGAGTGAAGGTTGTGGAGAGTGTTATCATTAGTGGGCCAGTTTGTAGCCCTTGAAAGGTTTATGTGAAGGTTTCAGAACCTTAGCTTTGATCCCTGGAGCCCATTGACCAGGGTAGATGGGAACGGAAGATGAAGAGTTCTGAGCTGGAGCAAAAGTGGAAGGCAGCTGCAGAATGAGCAGATGAGGCTAGAAACCTATGATTGACCGACCCTACTGACTTCTCTTCTTTTCTTACAGCCTCTCACCAGGAACCCTTTGCTGTGGTGCAGATAACACTGGTCAAGATGAGGGGTCAGAGTGTTGAAGCCCTTAACCAGGTACAAGAGGGTGACTTGTATGACAATTGCACGTCTTTGGTCTTTTTTTTTTAAACTTTCTAAGAATCTCCTCACATCCTGCCCACACAAGTGATGAACCTCGTGTCCATCATCTCCAGTAGATACAGGTATCATGGTCCATCTTTTCCACCAACATAGGCAGATTAACACTGCTGGGCATTCCTATGCCCCCATAAGAAGGGTTTGCATGTTATTTAGCAGCCCAACTTTCTCCTCTCCACCCCAAATACTTCAATAACGTCATTAGCAACAACAATCATAACTTATATAGTCCCTACTATGTGCCAGGTGCCGTGCTGAACACTTTACAAAGATCTTGTTTGATCCTCACAGCCACCCTGCGAGGTAGGTGCTGTTATTATCCCCATTTTACAGATGAAGAAATTGAGGCGAACAGAGGTTAAGTGCCTCGTCTAGGATCACACAGCCGTTTAAATGTCTGAGGCTGGATTTGAACTGAAGTCTTCCTGGTTCCAGGCACAGTGCTTTGTCCGCTCTGACGTCAGCCCGTCTTTAAGGAGTCTGGTGTTCATACCTCGCTAGTTCTCTGCACGCTAGCCCCTAAATACACACAGATACCCACCAAGATTACAGATGTAGTTGTTGTTGTTCAGTTGTTTCAGTCATGTCTGACTTCATGACCCTATTTGGGTTTTTTTGGGGGGGCAAAGATCCTAGAGTGGTTTGCCATTTTCTTCTCCAGCTCATTTTACAGGGGCTGGTCACTTTTCTTTACCTGATTCATAAATAGCCTTGAGTGGGAACTGATGACTTTTTGTAGACTCCATCCAGGTCACTACCATGTGCCAGGCACAGTGGTAGAATATCAGAACATATCAAAACAAAAACCAGTCTCTGCCCTTAAGAAGCTCATCCTAGTAACAACAATAATGGTTAATATTCATATAGTGCTTTATAAGATATGTTAAGTCTTTACAACAACTCTGGAGGTAGGTGCTGTTATTGCTACTATTTTCAGAGGCTCAAGAAGGTAAATGACTTGCCCAGCATCAGGCTACTAGGAAGTATCTAGGGCAGGATATGAACTCAGGTCTTCCTAACTGTGTGCCCTCGTGCTTTACCCACTTCACTGAGTAGGTCTCTGCTGACAATAGTGATAAGTTCTGTTGTCCCCCATGCAGCTCGATTAGGACTCATCTTGTTCTGATACTTTTCAGATTGGTTAGCCCTGTTCTTTGTTTTGGCCACAACTCCACCAACAATGCATTAGTCTTCCAATTTTTCCCACATCTTCTCCAACATTTATCATTTTCCTGTTTTATCATGTTGGCCAATCTGATAGGTGTGATGTGGTACCTCAGGGTTGTTATGATTTGCATTTCTCTAATCAATAACGATTTAGAGCATTTTTTCACATGAGAAAAATGGCTTTAATTTCTTCATCTGAGAACTGTCTGTTCATATCCTTTGACCATTTATCAATTGGGAAATAGCTTGTGTTCTTATAAATTTGTCTTAATTCTCTATATATTTTAGAAATGAGGTCTTTATCAGAAAGACTGGTTGTAAAAATTCTTTCCCAATTTTCTACCTTCCTTCTAATCTTAGTTGCATTGGCTTTGTTTGTGCAAAAACTTTTCAATTTAATGTAATCAAAATTATCCATTTTGCTTTTCATAATGTTCTCTACTTCCTGTTTGGTCATGAATTCTTCTGTTCTCCATAGATCTGATAGGTAAACTATTCCTTGTTCTCCCAGTTTACTTATGGCATCAGCCTTTCTATCTAAGTCCTGAACCCATTTTGACTTTATTTTGGTATTTGGGGGCCATGATTGTTGACTGGGGTTTTTTTGGTTTTGTTTTTGTTTTTAACTTTTGTTTCCTGTTTTAACAAGTTTGTTACTCAGGTTCCCATGGGCAGAGACCATGCCTGTGTTGTTCCCCAGCACCAAGTATACTGCTTGGCATGAAGTAGGTGTGCTTTGAATTTGGAGAAGCAACTGCTTGGCAGACCAAGATCACAGGGTCATTGACTTGAATGAGATCTGAGGGACCATCTAGTCTAACCTGTGTTGGGACAGTGAGTCTTCTCCCTCTCTGCTACCTGACAGGTTAAATCAGTCAACCAGCATTTACTAAACACCAGCTATGTGCAGGCACTGCTAAGTGCTGGTGGTACTAAGGGAAGGGAAAAACTTATCTCTAGAGACGCTCACAGTCTAAGTGTGGGGACAAGCAAACAGCTGTGCACAAACAAGCTATAGACAGGAAAAACTGGAGGTAATCGACAGAGGGAAGACACCAGCAGATGAGGGGATCAGGAAAGACTTCTTACAGAAGGAGGGAATTTCCCTGAGACTGAAGATATCTACAGACTTTTACTTGAAAGCATCACTAATGGAAGCCCACTACTTCTCAAGGCCAGCTCTAATTGTTAGAGAAATTTTCCTTCACAGGAAGCTTAAATCTACTTCTAGTTGCTTCTAGTTTTGAATTCTGGCCAGACAGAAGAAATTGCTAATTCAAATGGACCAGAAAATGGTCTTCTACCATTAGGAGCTTTCCCCTGCTCCACAGATAATGAAAAGTCACATCTTTTAAACCAACCACCAGCTGTATATTAGGCTTCTCAGGCCATGTGGGTACCTCTAGAGGAAGAGGTCTTTTAAAATTTTTTTTGTTTTTGTTTATTTTAGAAGCCTCAAAGAGTCACAAGGTGCAAAGTCCTGAATTCTAGCACATACCCTAACCAACCAAATGTGGCTCATTGGATCCTGGAACATACATCCCTAAACTTTGACATTTAGCAAAACTTAGCCACCTAAGTAGCTAGCACATGTAGTAGTAGGAAGCAGTATAGCATTGTGTATAGGGCATCTGACTTAGAGTCAGGAAGACATGGGTTTAAATCACATGTCAGCCACTTATTATCTCTGTGACCCTTGATAAACTTTTCTGTAGAATGTGAGAGGTTTAGACAACCATATGCCCTTACTATTGAAGATCTCAAGGGGAGGCCTTCTTTTCAGAATCATCATCCTCATCATTCAGAAGCCTTTTGTTGAAAATCCTCTAAATACAGTGGGGACAGTGCTAAGTGCTGAGGGACATACATGAAACATGGTGGCACAGTGAATAGAATATTGGATTTGGAGGCAGGAAGATCTGAGTTCAAATCCTTCCTCAGAAACTTCTGGGCAAATCACTTAACTTCCTATGCCTCAGTTTCCTTATCTGGAAAATGGGGGTATTAATAACTCCCACCTCCCAGGGTTGTTGTGAGGACCAAATGAGAAAGTACTTTGCACGTGTTAAAGCACTCTATAAATCTTAACCATGATTATCATTATTTTTCTTTCTTGCCCTCAGAAATCTGGTTGAGGAGATGGGAGATGTAGTATCTGGGGAAATTATAATATTTCTTAGTCAGTAATCTCAGGACTAAGATCCTGGTCACAAGGATAGAATATGGTACCAGGAATAGCTGGCCCAGCAAATACTACATAACCATGTCCAATATTCCTCAGGATCTGATCCACCAGGGTTTCCAAACCCAGTTTTCTGAGATCTCTCAGTTCAGCACAGTAGGGTATAATAACTAGTTCCCAGGATGTACGTGTCCAATGAAGGGCATTTCAAAACTGGAAGCCTTTAGGTAAGGCTGAATTTGGGATTTCCTATGGTGTGTTGTACTTAATTATTATTCATCAGTTTTGGAGAGGAGAAGATGAAACACATAAACTGAATTAAATTACACACAAATGAACACAGAATCATTTCTTAACAGTAGCTTTCTAATTGAGAAAATATTTAGAGTGAATTGGTGGAGAGAAACCACCTATACTTGTCATGATAGCAACCCCTTTTCATCTTTATCATTAAGTGATTTTTGAATCTGAAGAACTGACTCATGACCCCCCCTCCCCCTGTGTTGTGTTTTTTTTTTCCCCCTAATCCTGCAGCTCAGAGAGATCAAAGCCAGGGAGGGCTCAGACCAGCACAGCCAGAGCCTGGACGACGTCCGCCTCTACCAGCAGCGGCATCCACCCCTGGGCGCCAATCTTTCTTCTCCCACGTCTCACAGCTACACTTTTGGCTGTGCCCTAGAGGACAAGCTGGCTACTTATGGCTGTGTATACTCCACAGCCGACTGTAAGACCAAGTCTGCCCTCTATGGGAAGAGATCTATGAACTGCCTCTCCCTGGATCTTCTGGGAGAAGACCAGGTCCCAGAAGAATTTGTAGTCTAAGCCAAGTTGCCACAGTGTGGAGGTGGTTTGTGGTATGGTAGCCTATGAGTGAAAAGAGAAGAGGTCACCTCAGGTCTTATGAATAACTGTAAAAATAAATCATCTTCCTCACTGAGGGAGAGCGTGACATGGTGCTCACCTTCGCCAAGACAACCAGAGTGTACATGATTCACAGAGCAAATTTTGGCACCAGTCCCTCCCTGACCTAGACACTGCCCCAACAGTTTATTCCAATTCCTTGGGCAGCCTCCAGGCATACACAAACCCTCCATCTGGTGTCAGCATTCATCAGTATCTTCTACAAGGTTCCAGGAAAGGAGCAAATCTCCATCTGAACTTTAAATGCCCTTTGTGTGTGGTATATTAATGTTTTTTAGACAGGTCTTGAAGGTAACTGGGCGGTTCAAATCAACAATTATTCATTAAACACCTATGACATGCAAGACATTGTACTAGGCACCGGGGCTGTAGACAAAAACTGAAACAGTACTTGCCCATTAGGAGCTTATGTTCTCCTGGACCACAATAGGTGCTTTGGATTCAGTTGCAATGGTGTTCTAGTCCTTCCAGATATATACTGAAACCAAACTCTAGGTTCCCACTGGTAACAGAGCCTGAGTGGCCTCTTTCTTAATTTCTCTCTTTCTTCTTGCCTTATGACCAACCAAGGGGGGAAGAAAGGTTTCTTAGGAAAATCAAGAACTTTTGTCCTTTGAGGATATTTAGTCTTTGGAAAGTGAAGGGGAGTGGAAGGGAGCAGCATAAGGCAAGAAATGTGTCAACAATGATGAGTATTAGGCTCAGAATGAAGAGCCCTGGGATGTCAGAGCTTCATCTCTGTGCCCCTAACTCACTGAGGCTAGCCAGCTGGGTAGCTTCTGTACCACTGAAGATTTTCCATTTAATGACTGTAGAAGGTCAGCTGTGCTTGAATGGAAAGGGTCCTGCAATTATGCGTTTAAATCATAACACAACTTTGACTTCAGGAGTGTATGTTTTGTTTGTGTGGATCCTGTTTTCAAGAGAGTGGGAAGGTTGGTTACCCTGCACAGGAAGGGTCCCAAATCAGACTTGGCTGTTGCTTAATAGCATGCATCATAGTGTTTGTTGCAGGGGGCCATTCAAGCTTACTGGTTCCATTTCAAATGACTTTTTTGAAACTCTAGCTGATCACAAATTTCTCAATTTTGTAGAAGTCTAGCATGCATTATGAAATCTGAAAGTTCCTTCAACCATGTATGTCAATGCAAAGACAGACAGGCAGAGTCCAGCATCCAATGATCGCCTTCTATTCCACCAACACCTGTCAGGTGACATGATTGCAACCAAACTTGTTTTTTCGCATTTGAGGACCTTGAGAGATTATTGGACAAGAAACCAGTGTAGTTCTTGACCATAAAGTTAACCTTCCAGGGTTTTCTGAGTCTTTTAAAGTGATAACAAGTAAATGAGATCAACTAGCCATTCTACTGAGTCTCCTCAGCAGAATAGTTCTTAGAGAAGCCTATGCAACTTTGTTAGTAATTAGGCCATTCTGTGCATCCATCACTCTAATAACTGACTTTTCTTTTTTCCCTTTCTTCTTTCTTTTCTCCATTCTTTCCTCTCTTCCTCCATCCTTCCCTTCTTCCTTGCCTCCCTCCCTCTCTCTCTCCCTTCCAGCAGATTTGTTGAAATAAGATATACAACATCCTGATGGTCTGTGAAATGGGGGCAGGCCTGTGGAATTTCCACCTTTGTAGTCAGTGGCCAGTATGTTATTAAGAAGTTAATAGAGGGCTCTTGGGAAATTCCAGCTGCCATTCACCAGCTGGTTTTGCCACAGCCCCTGCTTTGTGGTAGAACACCGAATGAGTTTAGAATCTGAACACAGACTCCTCAAGCTGGGGAAACTGGCCTTTCTACAGCCACCATTGCTGGCTCCAGTACATGTATAGACAAACTGAGTAATTTCCCATCTTGTCACTGCCTTCTTTTCACTCCAATACCTACCTACTCCCAATTCAGCAATTCTTAATTTAAATGAGTTTATCTCTAGGTCAAGTAGTTTGTTGACAGTCATCTGCTGGGGCTTCCAATTATTCATGTAGTAGAATTTCTTGGAAAACTTCAATGGTCAGATATGAGTACGAATGATGAATTTGCTTCCCTGAATTATAGTCACTATCAAGGAATTAGCTAACTAGGCAATAACACACAGTTCATCTTATACGTGGGCAGGAATGGGGTGAAGGTCTGTCAGGCTGGAGGAAGATGATAGTCTACTTTGGGGTGCAATATGGCACCATCAATCCTGAGGCATTAGAACTGTGCATGTGTGCATATAGAGTCCCAGGGATTCTCCTACTATTTATTATTGTACTCCTTCAGTCTCCCAGTAGCTTCAAAGGGTTGTACCCCTTCTGCCTCCCCAGTTCGTGACAAAAAAGAAAACATTCTCTCTCCGACTTCCCTACAGGCTCTCCTCTGAGAGTGAGTCAGACTCGATTACAGGTGGCCATTCTCCCGATGTCATCCATCAACTTGTCATCATTTGGTTATTTGCTGTGTAGGCCTTTCAAAGACATGGATCATTTTAATAGACAGGCCTGTCTGCATCACCTGATGGGAAAGTGGAGGTTTGCATTTATTTGTGTTCTTTCCTGAAAGGACACGGAAAGAAGGTGGTTTTCTATTCAGGGCTCCTTCAAAGGGCAGGAGCAACATGACTTCTGCTTTGTCTTCAGAGTGGCCCCTTCTGCTTGCTTTTAAGTAGAGCTCTGTTGGGGGGGAATGCTTTACTTTGAGTTATATAGCAGGGATTTCAAAATGCTGGTGGTCCATGTATATTTTTTAATTTATTTGTAGTTCCCCTTGGGCTGTTGTCCCCTCCCTCCACATCACCACAGAGATATTGTCACCCCACTTGTACTTTGGACAAGGAAGATAGTACTCATTTTTGTTTAGACAGAATTGATCTATATTTTATATCCCTAAAGTATTAATATTGAATCACTGTGAAACCATTCTTATGCAAGGTTTTTGTAACCATGGGACATTATTATCTTTATTAGTGCTATATTTCGTATCTTGATTATACCTGGTTCACATTGTTCATATTAAAGCTTTTGTGGGGGGTGGGGGGTGGGCAGGGCAGACATTTAATACACAGTGTTCTGGATGGCTTATACTGCTGTGCTATCTTCACAGAGTTCTCTGTACTGGAAAGTATCGCTTCTCCTTTCTGTGAAAGGAATCTTTGTATATACCATGCACATGTAATAAAGAAGTGAAAAATGTCTGCTTGATTCTTTTTGTCGAAAGGGAAGCAGGAAAAGGGATTAAGCTTCGTTTCAGAGCATGAGGTCAGGCTCCAGATGCCACATAAAGACTTTGGGAGAAAGCCTTGTGTCTGGCTTTGTTCCATTTGCCAGCAGGGTTTACCAGGTTTGGACAAAGGTAAAGGTGGCTGGGAATGGTCATCAGTCTCATTTAGTGGTCAAGGGTACTTATGGGGACAGCAGTAACTGGGTGAGATAAGTCCATCAACTACTTAGCAAGTTGTGACGCATAGGCATCCATCCATCCCCAGATTTTCTGACTTGCTGAAAACATCCTTCTCTCCATGTACCTTAGCATTTTGCCAAATATTTTTGAGGTAATAGGTATGGGCCATGTTGTGCAATCTCAGAAGCCAACCCTCTTTTTGAATTAATTTTAAATTAGCAAAATACTTTGTTTGTAAAAGTGCTTTCCAAACCTTAATGCTAACTTATGATTACCGTGTCCCCAGGGCTTAGCACATAGTCTGCCACATAATAAACACTGAAGTACTTTCCATTTACCTATCCCTACTACCTTGCAGAGTCATTATATTATGGACAAAGTGTCAGGCTTGGAGTTCAGGGTTTGAGTTTTGAGTTCAAATCCCTAAATGTCAGAGTTCAAGTTAAGGGCTGTAGCCCTAGCTGTACGACCTCAGCTGCTGCTTCTCTCTGAAATGAAATGAATACTTGCAATAATAATAATAATGGCTAATATTTATGTGCTATATACTATGTGTCAGACACTGTGCTAAGCACTTCAGAATTATTGAATTTGATCATCACAACCACCCTGGGAGGAGGTAGGTACTATTATCCCCATTTTTACAGATGGGAAAACTGAGGCAAATAAGAGGTTAAGTCACTTGCCCATGGTCACACAGCTAGTGTCTGTCTGTACGTGTACTACGTAGCTTATGGAGTGATTGCGAGGAAAGTGCTTTCTAAACTTTAAAGGGTAGTGGAAATGTTGCTGTGAAGTAGGGATGAGAGGAAAGGGAAGGCTACCTAGATAAGGTTCTTACTCTTATTCCAGTCAATAAGAATGAGATGTTCAAATTGGTATAACATAGAGCACTGGCCCTGGAATCAGGAGGACCTGAGTTCAAATCCAGTCTCAGACACATAACACTTACTAGCTGTGTGACTCTGGGCAAGTCACTTAACCCCAACTGCCTCACCAGAAAAAAAAGAAGAAAATTGGTATAACACAATGGGCCATTTCTTTGAAGCCAAGACCCAGTATGGCAGAGTAGATGACAGGTCAAGAAGACTTGCACTCGGGTCCCACCCCCAACACAGAGGGGCTCGGTGACTGCGCGTGTTACTTAGCTTCTCCCAACTAGGCAACTTTCTGATGTTGTATGCTGAATTCATCTGCATTGGAAAAGGAAGTTTATATCAGTGAACTCACATACCACGCCAGTCCCTTTCCAGATACTTTATGAAGCTGTGGGCCAAAAGACTGGTAGTAGGAGAACCAGTTTGGCTGATTTTGATCAGTTGATGCATGTAAGGATGATTTAATCAGACATGGGCAAGCTCTCAAGTCGCCGTGAAAAAATGAAAGAGAATAGTGTGATAATGAAGTTTTGCAGGAAGCAAGGGCAGAGCTTGAAATAGAGGATAATGGTAACACTAAATAAAGGAGGACTAAAATGCAGGAAAGTTTTCTCAAATGTGCCTCTTAGCGATCCCTCATGACTAAATGGATGGGCATTAGAACAGTGAAACCGGTCAGTGCTTTTCCGAATGTCCTTGCACTGGAACCACCTAATCATTTTGGTTTATGTGCCCAGGCTCCTTGTCTAGTTCATGAATTACCTTGTGAGCCAAGGCAGCCCAGTACGGTACAGGAGTTTACAAGCTTTTAAAGAAGAAAAGCTTTTAAAATGAAGACACCTTTTGGGAAAATTGCACTATATGGAGGGAGGTAGAACCAATGTTATAGAGTGGATGGTTAGCTGGCCTCAGACTTAGAAAGACCCATGTTCCAGTCCCATCTCTGACAATAATGGCTGTGTGACCATGGGCAAATCACTACATTTCTCAATACTGGAGGCATAGAATCTAAGGCTGCAATTTTATAGAGTAGGTGCCCTCACCTGAAAATCATTGCCAGAATGAAATCACTGGTCCAGATCCACTCCCCCAGACTGATTTTATTTGTACAAGGAATTGGTGATGACTGGTTGTATGGCTTGTATGAATTGATGCAAAGCGAAGTGAGCAAAACTAGGAGAATAATTTATATTATGACAGTGTTATAAAAATAAACAATTTTGAAGACTTAAACTGATGAAACCTGAAACGAGAAAAACCAGGAGAACAATTTATACAATAACACCATAAAAATGAAGAATGTTGAAAGCTGTAAGTATTCTGATAAACACGAGACCATGCCTGATGCCAGAGGGCTGTTAAGAAAGTATGCCCCAGTTAGGGTAAGGGTTGAAAGGGAGAGAAAATAGATTTCTGTTAATTAGAAGAGTAAAATTTAATTTAAAGGAACAGGAAACAAAGACAAAATGAAACCACCTTTTCCCTCAAGTAACCTACATTCTACTGGAGAAATACAACATTTACAGAGGGGAAAATTTCATATATATATATGTGTGTGTGTGTGTGTGTATAAAATTTGGGAAGTTAAAGAGTACTAGCCCTGAGGGTGACCAAGAAAGACTTCTCATAAGAGGTGGAAGCCAGGTCAAGCCTTGAAAGAAGCTACAGATTTTTAAAAATGTTTGGTTATTTTGTACTTGGCAAACACCATTAACATTCACTTACATCTCCCCCTTTGAGTTAATTATTATTATTAATAATAAAAATCCATGACAAGCATTGAAACAAAACAAATTCATACATTGTCCAAAAAAGTAGATTTCATTCTGCGCAGTGACATCACCTCTGTCAACAAATAATTTTAAGTTAAGACTCTAAGAGGCGGAGGGGAGGATAAGATGCATTCCACACGTGTAGAGAAACCAACTTTGTAATGATGGGGTCAGGGGCAGGAGATGGATTGCTAAGTTTGGAGAACAGCAAACAGTACGGTTTGGCCAAAGTGGAGATAAGTCAATCTGTGATTTCATTTTTGTAAAAAGAGATTCATGGTAAGTAAGTCTGCAAAGGTAAGCTGGAGTCAGACGATAAGGGGCTTTAAATGCCAAACCGATTTTGCTTTTTTCCCAGAGAAAATAGGGAGCCATTGGAGAATCTTGAACTGGGTAATGACATGGTAAGAGCTGTGCTTTAGGAGAATGATTTTGGCAGTTGTATGGAGGATGGGATGGAGAGGTGGGAGACAGGAAGCAGGGAATTCAAGCAGGAGATGATTTTGGTAGCCCCTCTAGAAGAAGATGAGTTCTTGAAATAGGGTACTTGTACATATGAAGGGAGAGAAGAGATGGAGCAATATTAAATGTTTATTAAGCACCTACTATGTGCCATATATTTTGCTAAGAACTAGCAAACACCGTGCTGTGGAGGTTGAATCTTCAATACCTGGCAACTGATTGAATAGTTGTGGCAAAGGAAAGGGAAAATCTGAATCCATCTCCTCGGCTTTGTATCCGAGTGGCGTTTGAGGAGGGGTTAATTTAATGGTGGAAGATAATTGGCATCCAATTCCATATTCAGCAGGCATCTGGAGATGTGGATCTAGAGCTCAGGAGAGACAAAGCTGGACATGTAGATTTGGGAGCGATCTATGTAGGAATGATAAGAGCCTGTGGGGACTTGATGAATGAAGTCACCAAGAGAAAGAACATGAAGAAGATTGAGGAGAAAGCCTTGAGGGATTAGCACCACTTTTCCACTAAGATCCAGCAAAGGTGATTGAGAATGATTGGTCATATATGTAGGAGAGAGGCCTAGGGAGCACAGAGGGGATCCAGAGAAAGGAGGTGGTCAACAGTGTCAAAAGGGGCAGAGAATCCAGGAAATGTGCAGATTGAGAAAAGGCCAACACACTAAGTGAATGGTCATCTTGCAGAAGCAGCCTGGCTTAGTGGATATAGGTAAACTTTCCAGTTAGAAAGTCCTGCCTCTGATATACACTGTGTGAATGACTGTGGATAAGTCACTGAACTCCTCAGTATCTTCATTTGGCTCCAAGATTATAAATTACAGATGTATTACAGATGTACATTCCCAACCTGGGGGATGTATGTTTGACTGCTCTCCCCCTTTCCACCCCTTTGATCCCCTCACGTGACAAATACACTATTTCAAGTATTCGTCTCCCTGCTACATGTACGAAATTACAAATACAGACCAAACAAACGAACCCACAAAACCTTGGAGAGAGGAATTTCTGTAACTGGTGGGGATGGGTGGGAAGGTAAGCCTGGCCCTGAGGGAGTGAAGACCTGAAGAAGAGGCAGGAATCGTGACAGCTGTAAGGAGGGGTGAGAGATGGGAAAGTATTCCCAAATGGGAGCAATGACTAAGGAGACGAGGCCCAATTAGGGCACCCATGTGAGGATTCAGTACTTTGATTGGGGAGGGGGGTGGCATGAGAACTTTAGGCCTGGGCTCCTCTTGCCTCCAAGGCCCATGATTCACTGTTAGAGAGCCATGCACAGCTCCTTGTAAATGAGATGAGTCAACACACAGGTACAGACTCATTAGCTTATCTTGGCAAAAAGAGAACCTCAAGTACGTACTTACAGAACAGCACGGGTGCTTGTCCTCAACCACTGTCCTGGTGGAAACAACCAAGTAAGAAGTGATACACTCTGTGTCAAGGCAGGAAATCTCAATTCTAGTCCAACTCTGCCTTATACGTATGTGACTGGACGTGTCACTGGAGGTCAGTTTTCTTATTCCGCAAAATAGGAGGAATGAGCCAAACGATCTATAACACGGTCCAGTCCAGCCCTGAAATGTTGGGATTCTGATTTCTTCGGCCTCACTGTTTTCATGCAGAGCTGGGCAGAAGGCGCATTCCTCAGTTGTACCGTCAGAGGGCAGTGGTGGTGCATCACGGTGGTCAGTCACTGGTTCTACATTTGAGTCTAATATTTGCCTGCCAGGGAACTATTTTTAAATTTTTATTTATTTTTTTTATTGTAAAGCTAGGACTGGAAGGCATCTCTAAGACCATAAAGTCCACCCCTTCACTTTTCAGATGAGGAATCTGAGGCTCATGGAAATTTAGTGACTTACCCAAGATCACAGGGGTTTAAGTGTCAGATCAGAGACTGGAACTTTCTAGTCCAACCTCCTCCCCTGCCCCCACCTCCTACCCCAACTTCTGTCCCCTAAACACACTCAGTAAAATCCAGTGGCTCCTATAACCTTCAGGATCAAATATAAAGTCCTCTGTTTGGCATTCAAAGACCCTCATAATCTGCTCCCTCCCCCCACCTTACCATCTTCTTATCCCCTACACCCCAACACATACTTTTTTATCTATTGACCCTCACACAAGATATACCATCTCTTGACTCTGGCTACTTTCCCTGCTGTTCCCATTCCTGGAATTCTTTTCCTCCTCATCTCTGCCTTCTGGTTTCCCTCAAATCTCAGCTAAAATTCTACCTTCTGCAGAAGCCTTTCTAGTTCTGTTTAATCTTAGTGACTTCCTTCTGAGACTATCCCATAGTCATTCTTTCCCTATCTCATTTGTACATAGTTGTTTGCATGGTGTCTCCCCCAGCAGATTGTAAATCTTGAGGGCAAGGACTATCTTTTGCCTTTCTTTATATCCCTAACATTTAGCACAGTGCCTGGCACACAGTAGTTGTCTTAATAAATGTTAATTGACTAAGGAAATTGATTGTTAATTGATAAAGAAACTGAGTCTCAGAGAGATTAAGTGATTTGCCCAATATCCCACAGAGGCTCAGAGGCATAACAGATCTTGAAATCCAAATTCTCTCCCTTCCCCACCCCTCTCAAATAAACCAAAAAAGCAGTGAGGTGAAGCAATTGGGGTTAAGTGACTTGCCCAGAGTCACACAGCTAGTGAATGTTGTATATCTGAAGTCAGGTCCTCCTGACTCCAGGGCTGGTGCTCTATCCACTAACAGTGAACTCTTGTTGAAGCACATTCTCAAGGTAAACTACCTTCATAAAAATGACAGGAGACTATATGTGAAATTTTAGAAAATTTCAGCCAGAGCTGCCAAGGCGACAGTGATGGGGAATTATTGTTTGGACACATTGTATTCAAGTGTTACAAAATATCTCATTTTGTAAATAGACAACTAGAGATAAAAAAAAATCAAATGAATGAAATTGAGCAACAAGTAACAGATTTGGAACAAGAGATCCAAAAGCTTGTGATTGGAAGTCAGCTTTTTCAAGAAAGAACTCATGGTCTGTTAAGGGAAAACCAAGAGTTTTTAGGTATACTGAGAGAGGGGGCTAGAAAATGGCTTATGAACACTAGTACCAAATAAATCTGTCCACTAGTGACCCTTAGCTATCCATTCCCCAGAGTGAGATTCCTCAGAAAGATACAGCAGTGTCCACGTAGGCATTTTTTTTTGTCCTCCAGGGCACCCAGGGGCAGGCGTACGGTACTGGTGCTTCCAGGAAAAGCCAAATGATAGTGCCAAATTGTCTCTAATGTGAACCAGGCCGGTTCAGAGCAGGCTAGCTGCCAAGTGGTATGGATGTGGTCAAGAAAAACTCCCCGTGTGTTTAGCAGACAGAAGACAGCCAGTGACCGCCAGCTGACCCAGAAAAAAACACTCGTTCCTAAGGGGTGATTCAGATTTTTGACCTTCTTTAAGCTGAAGGCCCATTGGCAGATATGGAGAATTATGCCAAATGACTGTCAACAGCTTGTTTGAAACTGAGCTGCTGACTCTCATCTCTGTTGCTTCAACTGACTGGAGGAATACAGTTAGCCACTGAGGCTTTGCTATTGCCCTAGAGAGACAAAGCCACAAGTCCTTCCAAACCAAGAAGACCTAGAAATGAGCTTTGCCTAATAATCTTTCTTCTGTTCTTGGATAAGCCAGGGTCTTGGCTATGACATCCCTCCCCAGAACTATGTCGCCAAGAGCTCCAGCTGATGAGGTGGTGAGTTCCACGTCACTGGAAGTCTTCAAATATTGGCTATATAATCACTTTTTGGAGGGGGGAATTAATGATTTGATAGGAATTGAACTAGACTCTGCTCAAATCCCACTTTCTTCAAGATGTTTTCCTCCTTTCCTTTCCCCAATGCCTTTCCTCTGAGATTACCTGTCATTTACACCGCATATATTTTGTGGGTAGATAGTTACTCATCTATTGTCTGCTCCATTAGAATTCAAGTTCCTTAAGTTCCTTGGTAGGGAGCCCTGATCTGTAAATTCCATTATCAGGGGCTGTGTTTTTTGCATCCCCAGTACCTACTACAGTGCCTGGCATATGCTATTGTTATTGTCATTGTTCAGCCATTTCAGTCGTGTTTGACTCTTCATGACCCCATTTGGGGTTTTCTTGGCAAACATACTGAAGTGGTTCACCATTTCTTTCTCCAGCTCATTTGATAGATGAGGAAACTGAGTCAAACAGTGTTAAGTGCCTTGCCCAGGGTCACCTAGCTAGTAAGTGTCTGAGGCCAAATTTGAACTCAGGAAGATGAGTCTTCCTGAATCCAGAGCCATCACTCTATCTACTCTTCCACCTAGCTACCCTCCAGCTCATCTTACAGATGAGGAAACTGAGGCAAACAGGATTAAGTGCTTTGCCCAGGGTCACCTAGCTAGTAAGTGTCTGAGGTCACATTTGAACTCAGGTCTTCCTGACTCCAGACTCAGGGTTCTACCCACTGCGCCATATAGCTGCCCCTGATAAGCACTTATGGTTGATTGATTGAAAAGACCTCTGAGATTTAAGGAAGGGTAATACAGCTGAAATCATATTGGCTGTAGAGTGAGAGGATCTGAGTTCAAATCCTATCTCTGATGCTGGCTACTTGTGTAATCTTAGGCAAATTACTTAACTTCCCTATGTCCTAGTGTCCTCATCTGTACAAGAGGAGGATGAAAATGAGAAGAATAGTAGATGTCCTTTCTAGCTCTAAAGATCTGATCTCTCAAACCCCTTTTTATATTTTAAAGTTCAGTTTGGTTAAAGCAAAGGGTATTTGAAGAGTAGTGTGATAAGCATGACCTGCGATAAGTAATTTAATCCTTGTGGGCTCAGTTTGCTTATGTGTAAAATGAGATTAGACTAGAGGAGTGAACAAGCTCTTATGTACCAGGTGCTGTCCTGGATCCTGGATACAAATACAAAAAAGAGAGCATCTCTGGCCTCTAGGAGATTACATTCTCATGGGAGATACAACACACAGGGAGGGGGGAGCCAAGGCAGGACGTTTTGGTCTGAGGCATCAGGGATTGTGAGTGAAACCACTGGGAAATTCACTGTCCAGTCCTTTCTGGTAGCAGTAGTAGCATTTTTTTGTTTCCCGAGTGAGAATAAAAGAAAGAGATGGTGAGTGGTGAGGGATTATGGCAAGAGTGGAGGGATAGTCAGGTCCACAGGTGGCAAGATGCTCCTACTAGGTAGGAGCCTTAATTTCATGGTAGATTAGATAGAATACGTGATCTAAGGCCAGCTAAGTAATTGTGGGTAACATGAGTCTTACCCATTCACCTACCAATCAAGATAACTCAGATGTTTCTAAAGTCACCTTCCAGCTCTAGACCTATGATGCCTCAGAAAGGTAGCACAGAATCTCAGACTTTGGACTTCATGAAACCAGAGCTTGATTGTGGAGGGCGTGAATGTCAGGGTGAGTCTGGACATTATTCAGCAGATAATAGTAAGGCATTGACAGTGTATGATCAGGGATGTGTGCTTCTGTTTATAAAGGAGGGCAGGTGAAAGAATGTGGACAGGTAGGGAAACGCCTAGAATCTATGTCATGTGAAGAGCGAGAATGGGGATGTTTATCTTAGAGAAGAAAAGATTTGGGTGGGGGAAGGGGAGAGACAAAATAAATGTGTTCAGGTATCTGAAGGGCTATTATAAACGTGTTCTGTTTGGCCTCTGAGGGAAGAACCAGAAGTAATGAGTGGAACCTACTGGAATAAGTTAAGGCTTGATGTAAGGAGAGACAGTGAGAGCTGTCCAAAGGTGGAATGCGCTGCCTGGGCAGGTAGTGGGTTCCATCTACTTGGAGGTCTCTAGGCCAAGGCTGGATGGCCACTTGTCCAACGTGTTATGGTGGTGGATGCCTTTTCCAGTATGGCTGCTGAGGTCCCTTCCAGCTCTCATGTTCTTGTGATTCTTGGACAGCCCTAATGGAAAGGAGCGAGCCTTCAGTTGTGTAGGCTCTCTCTCCTATTTCTGCTTTGTTTTGTTCTCTTCTAACCTACACTTTAAAAAATGTAGATGGATTGTTGTGCAACATCTCAACCTGTGACAGCTTGTGGTTGTGTTAAGTAGGGTAGGGATTTTTACCCTCTGGGTCTCCAAATACAGACGTGTGCAGATGTGCATGTGTGTCAACCCATCCTACCCCCACCCACTCACATTCCTTTTCTCAGCAACTCCTCTGCCCAGAATCCCAGGATCCCAGAGCTTGAAGGGATCTCGGAGACCATGCTAAGCCAACCCTGAGCTGACCAAGGAGCCTTTGATAACCTCTTCCAGACTCTGACAGACTCCATCGAGGGAGAGGAAAGTCCCCCTCTCTCCTGTCAGCTCGTTCCACTTTGGGAGAGTTCTAATTATTAAGAAGGTTGGCTTTTTGGTTTTTCCCCTCTCACATCAAGTGCTGATCTGCCTCTGTGCGACTATGCTCTTGCTTCTAGTTTTGCTTTCTGGAGCCAAGTAGGACAGATATAATCCTTCTTCCATATGACAATTCTTAAAATATTTGAAGATAGCTATTATGAATGCCATGAAGCCAGGAGGAGCCTGTACCACCCAGAGGCAAAGCCAGGGGGCAAGGCAGGGAGCATTCTGTTCTCTGAAGTTCTCATCCCCTATGGCCAGCAAACTACCACCACTTCAAACTCTTCCAATTCCTGGGATATTGAATCTTGAGCTGCTTAATAGTAAACCACCCCTCTACCCAACTCTCATTCCAATCCTATTCCTTCAACCTTATTCTTCTCATGTCTCACTCCAATTCTGCCTAACCTTTCCTTTGTACCCTATGAAATTCCTGTTACATGATTAATACACTTCTCTCCATTTTAAGCTTCTCGTGCTCTTGCTATTTTCTGGCATTCATGGAGATCTGACTCCCTCCTGAAGAGACTCCTATCCCCTCTAGAATGGGCTGTGACTTCTCTATAACCCCAGTACATGGGGTCCCACAAGACAGAGACTTAGAATATTCCTCACTTTCACTCACTTCTAGACTCTTGATCTACCGCCATCACTCAGTAACTTCTATACCTTTGAAGTCTGGTCTATCTAAACTTATCAACTCATTGCGCGATCCAGATCCTGGTGGCAGCTATCCATTGCTTCTTAGGCCATTCTTCCTCCTTTCTGAAGAAGTTCATTGGCTAGCTCCCAATCTCCTTCCCCATGCCAACATCTCCCATTTCAGTACCAAGGGACCTCAACATACATGTTGATGTCCCCTCAAACACCCAGGCTCTCCAAGTCTTTGGTCTTCTCAATTCTCATGACCTCCTTCACTCTGACTCAGCAACCCAAGGGTTATTCCCTTGATCTTACTGTTACCTACAAGTTTTCTACTTCCACTATCAAGAATTCTGATATTCATTGTCTTATCATAACCTCCCATCACTCTATCTCTCCCTATGCTTCCCTCCTTCTAAACCTTTTCTTCAACCTTACCATGACCTCCAATCCTCTATGCTTTCCCAAGCAATCTCTGCCTCCTCTGGCCTCTCTTTACTTCTTTCACAATACTGGCTGCTATAGTTAAGAAGTCCAATACTATGCTATGGATTACTCCTACCATTTGTCTTCTCTGTTTACTCTGTTCTGAACGGAATTGGAGGAAGTTAATTTGGGGAACTGGATTGACTACAAATTTATGTATCTGAAATCATCTAGACCCTCATTGAAGAAAGGCAATCCTTTTACTCCCATGTAATTGATTTTCTGTTGCATTCCCCATAGTAGCTGTTTCAAAACTTCTTGTGTCCCTCAACCTCCCTCATATTTTACTGCAAAAATAAAAGCCGTTCACTGTTAGGTTCCCTCCCACTGTAAGTTTCTCCTGTTCTGCATTTCAAAACTTCTTGATATCATTTCCCATTCTCTCTTTGCCAAAGTCAACACCTCTACACATGCCCTTGACCCTATACTCTCTCATCTCCTTCAACAGATTGCTCCATAATCATATTCTCTCTCTCATTGTCTTTGTTCTCTCTCTCTCTCCTCCCCCTTCCCTCCCTCCCTCGTCTCTGTCTCTCTCAAATTTCTTCCTACCTATTGCTTCCTTCCCTACTGCCTACAAACACATCAAGATCTCTCCCATCCTTAAGTTCTCCTTGCTTGACCACCTATCACTCCCTCAAGCTATTCTATCTGGCACTTTCTGGTGAATTGGTGATTCTCTGTCCTTATCCTGCCCTCTTGGTTTGGCCTAGGTTCATTTCTTTGGGATTGTGTATCTTTTGAAGAAGAGAACTAGACTCCCAGTGCCCTAATTATACCCCTACCACACATTCCTGATGGTTCTAGTCTTAAGGGGTTTCCCCCAGTAAGAAGGATGGTAGAATATAGAACATACCCACAGTAGAAAGATAAATAAGTAATAGAACAGGCAGTTTTCTTCCAGCAAAGGTAGGGAACTACTAAGAAACAGATTCGTAGAATAATTTCAATTAGTTGAGAAGCTACTATCAACCCTTTATGGAGCTTTTGCAACAGGGCTGCTCATTAACTAGTTTACATTTAGCTTCCAATGAGTACAGCTCAAACAATTTCAAATAGATTTTTTTTCTTTCCAGGGGTGTCTCTCTGTCAGTGATGCTTTCCCTCTCCCTCCTTTTGCCTCTGTCTCTGTCATCACCTTTGACATTGTTTCCACAACTGCCAGTTGGCCAGTATACCTTGGGTTCTTAGGGACTCAGAGAATCATTGTTTCTCATCAAGGGCAGCAGGAAGGAGAGACTGGAGGAGTAGGGATTGCCCCTTTAGTAACTTATCCATGGAGTTCTGGCTCAGGAGCCAATTACAAGTCTTCATGGTTGACAGGAAGGGCCCCTCCATCAAGTATTCCAAAGGGAGTGCTATATTATCACCAGATATCTTGTCTTCTTTTCACAGCCAAACTCTTAAGGGGAAAAAACCCAACTGTATTCCTGTTGCCCCTATCTCCTTTCCTTTCACTCATTTCTGAATCTTTTGCAAGCTGCTTCTGACCTCACCACTCGATTGAAACTCTTCTCTCCAAAGTTACCAATTAATCCAGATTGCTAAACTGATGACCTTTGCTCACTCCTTATTCTTCCTGACCTCCATATAGCATGTGACACTATTGATTTTCTCCTCTTCCTGTTTACTCTTTCTATCTAGATTTTTATGACATTGAGTCTCCTCCTACCCATCTGAGAACCTGTCATTCACCCTTGCTGGATTATCATCCATATCAACATCTCCTAACTGTGGGCATACCCCAGGACTCTGCCCTGGGCCCTCTTATCTATCTATATGCTCTCTTGTTCCTCATCAGCTCCCAAGGTTTTAATTCTCTTATTTATGATAATGACTCCCAGCTCTATGAATCATCCCCTAATCTCTCCAACCCTGGCATCACATTGCCTATTAGACATTTTGAACTGAATGTCTTATAGTCATTTCAAATTCAATGTGTCCAAAATAGAACTTTTCCTTTCTTCATCTTCATCTTTCTTTTACAAACTTTTTCCACCTTCCAAAGTTCCCTATTTCTGTAGAGGGCAGTACTATCCATTTGGCCATCTGTATATAATCTCTGTGCCATCCACGATTCTTCCCTCTCCCTCATCCCCCAATCAGTTGCCAGATCTTTCCATTTCTACCTCTACAAAATCTCTCAGATCTATCTCCCTCTTGCACTTACATAGCCACCATAGTTCAAGACCTCATCACTTAGACTATCATAATGGCTTTCTAACTGGTCTCTCTCCTTTCTAATCCAACCTCCACACAATACCAGAGTGATTTTCCTAAAAGCATAGGTCTGACTGTATCATTCCCATACTCAGAAAACTCTAGTGGGTCCTTCTTACCATTAAATTGAAATACAAACTCCTTTTTGGAGGCAGGGGTCATTTAAAAACCTTTAAAACTTGGCTCAAACATTTCTCACTTTTTTATTTATCACATTCCTTCAAGTACTCTTTGATCCAGCCAGGTTGGTTTACTTGCCAGACAGTCCTTGCCCATAAGGAGCTAACTTTCTAATGGTGGAAGTCAGTCCACAAATAGGACTAACAAAGGCTGAGCAGGGAGGTAGGCATACCTGGGCAGTGGCATGGCTGGAGATATCTGAGAAGTACTATAGAGGCTCAGAGAAGTTCTGGAGGTAGAGTTCACCCAATATCTCTATCTTCTCTATTCCCAATAGGTGCTTCCTCCTTCCAAATAATTTGTACTTATTTTTGTATATATGATACATATGGCTTTCCCTAACAGAATATAAGCTCACTGAGGGCAGGGATTATTTTGTTTTTAACTTTGTCTCAGAGTGTTTGCCATGTAGTAGGCATTTAATAAGTGCTTATTAATAAACACATAAGTCTTCTCATCATATCATCATTCCTCCCACCCCCCCTTTTTTTTTAAAAGAATTCTCTAATTTTGCTTTTCCTAAAAAAGTCCAAAACTGACTGCAGTACTGTAGATGTGGTCAGAGTAGGGCATGGCAAAATCGAACTACAATGTCTTTAGTCCTGGATACTATACTTCTCAATGCAGGCTAGGATAGCATCAGTTTTCGGGCTGCCATATCACTGTTGACTTATATTGAGCTTGTGATTCACCAAAATCCTCAGATCTTTTTTCAGAGAAGCAACTTGTCATGCCTCCTCTAGGCTGTTTTTTTGAAGTTGATTTTTGAACCCAAGTATAGAATTTTACATTTATCCACATTAAATTTCATCTTATCGAGCTGACCCATCATTATAGACTGCTGTGATGGTTTTAGATTCTAACTCTGTCATGCATATTAGCCATTCTTCATCTTTCATCCACGCTGTTAGTGATAAAGTTAATTTTGCTTCTTTTCCTTAGGATTTCTAGCTCACCCTGTTAATTACCCATGTTTTATGCATTTACATATAAATATCAGAGGTCACAGGTGTTATTACTGACTTTCTTCTGGGATATCATCTTCCATCCCTCTTCTGCCACTCACCAAGCTGAGATCAAAGTTGGCAGTTTCCTCCCTCCTTGTCCCCATTATCAGTTTAAAGACTTCTTGATGAGATTAAAAAGCTTCAAGGTAAGTATGCTTTCCTTGTTAAGTATTCTATTCCTTGCTAAGATCCTGTTATTCCATTATTTTAGTTGGTGGTCCAGAAATTCAAATTCCCATTCAAAGATAGCATTTTGTTTTTTAGCTCCTCTCCTACTCAATTTGCCTTTCTCTTCTGTATCTTTAATCTTTAATCAGAAATAGTGATTAAAACACCACCTGTGCCCTCAAAGTTTTTAGTTTTTCGTTGTTTGTTTTTATTTTTCTTATGAGTTCATGATCATTAGCAATACTTTCAAGTTCCTTATATTATAGTTTCTCATAGGAATCACTAGAAGTGGATAATGGTTATCAAATTTGAGAATTCCTGGGCAGTTCTCCATTGCATCCTGGATATATGCTCCAGAACTAACAGCTGCCTCAGTGTCCCTCAGTAAAGAGTCATCACCATAACTCTCTTCTTCCTTTGTATGTTGTGAGAAGACCTCTTGCATGATGATAATATCATTCCTTGGAACTCGAGAAGCTACTTCCTCCAGAAATAATGCAGCTTTTCCCTTTACAGGAAGATCTTTACACCTATTACCAGGGGTATGCTAATAAATGTTTAAAAAAAATTTTTTTGTGAGGCAATTGGGGTTAAGTGACTTGCCCAGAGTCACACAGCTAGTAAGTATCAAGTATCTGAGGACGTATTTGAACTCAGGTCCTCCTGACTCCGGGGCTAGTGCTGTATCCACTGAACCACCTAGCTGCCCCTTTAACTTTCTTAAATGTTAAATTTCTTAATGTTTAGCTTTCTTAAAATGCAAAACATATTAGTAAGTTTAATCTGTATTATTAATACTTTCTCCATTATTTTCTTAAGTCTAGATAACCAAAAAACAGTAAACCACTAATAGAGGAGACTGTTATTAAGATTCCCTCAGTTTAAGAATCCTTGGCCATATCATAGTTAATGACTGAAATGTTTAGTCTATTTAAATGGGAGTGGTGATGGTGTAGAATAACCTGCCCCTCTCTCACTTGTCTCCAGCTAATGCAAGAGTGTCCCCCAACAGGTCACCCATTTAAGGAGCAGCTTTCTATTCACTAATAGGAAAGGATCCCCTTGATTCAACAATATAGTCTCCAATGATTCATACAGAGTGGACCAAAGAGGAAGCTTTCTGTTCATTAATAGAACAGCATTCACTTAATTGAAAACTGACTTCCTCCTTGGAAAAGGGACACCACCTCCAGGAATCTAAATTTAGAAGATAAAAGATATATTGCCCTAAAGATGAACAGAAGATGGAAATATTCAATGTTGGAAAGGCTATAGGAAGTCAGGCACACTAACACCCTGTTTGTGGAGTTAAGAATTAGTTTACCATTCTGGAAAGCAATTTGGAATTAAGCTTTTTTAAAAAGGGATGAAAATATCCATATTTTTTGTTTGTTGGGTTTTTTTTAATTTTCAGCTTTAATTTTTCTCCCTCCCCACAGCTCCTCTCCTACTTGAGAAAGCAACCAGTACAATACATCTGACGTCATGCAAAGAAAATTAAAGTGAAAAAAAAATGCTTCAATCTGCACTAAGAGTTCATCAGTTCTCTCTCTGGAAGTGGGTAGCATTTTTCACCATAAATCCCTTGGAATGGTCATCAATCACTGTATTGATCAGAGTAGCTAAGTCTTTCACAATTGATTATCATTATGATATTGTTATTACTGTGTATAATATTCTTCTGATTCTACTAATTTCACTTTGCTTCAGTTCATGTAAGTCTTCCCAGATTTTCCCCTTTGTTATTTCTTATAGCACAATAGTATTCTATCACAATTACATACTACAACTTGTTCAGTCATTCCCCAAGTGATGGGAATCCCCTCAATTTCCAAGTTTTTGCCACCACAGAAAGAGCTGCTATAAATATTTTTGTACAAATAGATCCTTTCCCCTTTTGTTTTATTTCTTTGCAGCTAGGTGGCTCAGGGATAGAACACTGGGCCTGGAGTCAAGAAGACCTGAGTTCAAATCTGGCTTCAGACACTAGCTGTTGGCCCTGGGCAAGTCACTTAACCTCTGTTTCCCTTAATACCGTGGAGAAGAAAATAGCAAACCATTCCGGTATCTTTACCAAGAAAACCCCATGGGCAGTATTGGCATGCTATGGGGTTACAAAGAGTGGACACTGCTGAACAATAAGTAGTATTGCTAGGTCAAAGAGTATGCACAGTTTTACAATCCTTTGGGTATAGTTCCAAATTGTTCTCCAGAATGGCTGGACCAGCTCACAACTCCACCAATAGTGCATTAGTGTCCTATTTATCCATTTCCCCTCCAGCATTTTTCATTTTCCTTTCCTGTCATGTTAGCCAATTTATAGGTGTGAGGTGGCACCTCAGTTATCTTAATCTGAATTTTTCTAATTAACATCTTAAAATTTCTTCTTCTAAAAATTGCCTGTTTATATCACTTGACCATTTACCAATTTGGAAAGGCTCTTATTTTCATAAATTTGGCCCATTTGCCTATATATTTGAGAAATAAAATCTTTATCAGAGAAACTTGCTGAAAAAAATGTACCCCAGTTTCCTGCTTTCCTTCTAATTTTAGCTACATTGGTTTTGTTTGTGCAAAACCTTTTAAATTTCATGTAATCAAAATGATCTGCTGTCATCCTCTCCATCTCTTGTTTAGTCACAAACTCTTTCCTTCTCCATAGATCTGACAGGTAAACATTTCCATGCTCCTCTAATTTGCTTATGATATCACCCTTTACGTCTAAATCATGTACCCAATTTGACCTTATCTTGATATATAGTGTGAGGTGTTGTTCTATGCTTAGTTTTTGCCAGACTGTTTCCTAGTTTTCCCAGCAGTTTTTCTCAAATAGTAAGCTCTTGCCTCGATAACTTTGAATCTATGGTCATTTACTACTGTATATTGTGCACCTAATTTATTCCCTTAATCAACCACAGATGTACATATTTTTTGACTCAGAGACCCACAAATGCTCAAAGGAGGCCAAAGACAGAAGAAACTTCCCACGTACACCAAAATATTCATAGCAGAATTTTTTTTTGTGGTTCCAAAGAACTGGGAGTAGATACCCATTGATTGGGAAATGACTAAACATATTTTTAAGAATAATTTTTATTTTTGTTATTCTATACTTGGCAAACACCAATTAACACAAACATTTCCATATTCATGGAACAAAAAAGAGGCTTGTACATGAAACCACTAATCTCCATTACAAATAGCTTGCCCTTATTTTTTAAAACATATAATGAATTCAGTATTTTTATTTTAAAGTTGTATAGCTTATCCATGTCTGCCTCTAAATCTCCTTTTATTCTCATCTAGCTTTAAAAAATACTTCAATGACCTTCTTAGTTCTTTCTTTTCTTTTGTTAAAAAAATTATCATTCATCCCTTTCCCCATACCAGCACCCCAAATTTAAAAAGAAAAACTGACCTTCCCTGGTGACAGATAAGCATAATTAAGCACAACAAATTTGCACACTGGAATGGCTAAACAAGTTGGAATACATGAATATAGTGGGGAATTACTGGACTTTAAGGGGAAAAAATTAATATGAAGAATTCAGAAAAATATGAGAAGACTTACATGTCAACTGATGCAGAACAAAGTAAGCAGAACCAGGAAAACAATATACACGATGACTATGACAATAGAAATGGAAATACCAAATACCTAAAAATGGCTGCTGTATAGTTATAATGACCCAGAGAAGAGATGGAAAAATGTGCCTATTGCCTTTCTTTGAAGAGGCAGGGACTTATAGGTGTGAGTTCTGTATATACTGTCAGACTTGATGTTTGTGTTAGCTTTTCTGACTTGCTGTTTTCTCTTTTTTTATCCTTTTTTGTTTGTTTTTGCAAGGAATGATATTCTGGCTAGAGGAGAGGGCAGGATATATTTGGAAAGGTATGATATAAAAACAAAAGGTATCCATTTAAAAAAAAATCATTGCCTTGGATGCTAACAAGGAGAAACATGAGTAACACCATGTAGTTTTACCTGATCAGAAGTAGTAGGTGGAGCTTCGAGAATCAGAATTTCTGTAGTTTCTCTCCTAATTTTGTTTTCCTACTTTCTAGACAACCAGGAGGGGAGTAGCCCCTTGGTATTGTTCTTTCTTAGCCTTTTTCTATCTTTTTTTTCCCATGAAAATAAATAGAGGAATAGAGGTTTGCCCTCTATTATTATGTCCTGTTATTATTTATATTATTATGTAATATAATAATTATATTACATAATAATATTATTATATCCTGTGCCCTCTCCCTTTCTCTCTCTTCTAAACTCCAAGCGTTTTCACTGGTTGTCCAGGAATGTCCATGCCTGGACCTCTCTCCCTCTTCATCTCCGTCTCCTGGCTTCTCTGGCTTCCTTCAAGTCTCTGCTAATGTCCTACCTTCTACAAGAAACCTTCCCAGTCCTCCTTAATCCTAGTCCCTTCCCTTTGATATTATCCCCAATTGATTTTGTATGCATCGTGTTGGTACTAATTGTTTGCATGTTGTTTTCCCCATTAGACTGTGAGCTCCTTGAGAGCAGGGACTGTCTTTTGTCTTTCTTTGTATTTCCAGTGTTTAGCACGGTGCCTGGCTTATTGTATTGGCTTAATAAAAGCTTGGTGAATGGCTTTTGGTTGGCCTTGAGAGTGGAGTTCTCTTTCTCTCACTAAGTTCTGTCCTTTCCTGGAAGAGAGAACAGTAGTGAGCCATAATGACTCCTTAAACTTTGTGTGGACAGAGGAGCAATGAATGGTTTTTTTATATTCTTTTATCTCTTTTCTTCTCTCTTCTAGGAGTCAGGAATTCTGTATGGTCTGGTGTCAAGCCACGTTATGCCAGGCAAAGGACAGGAACTGATTGCTGATCCATTGTCATCCACCTTCTAGGAATGATTATCTTTTTCAGGATGCTTTTTTAATAAGTCTGTCTTTAGCAGAGGCAGCAGGGTGAATAGAAGGGCTGAAAATGAGTCCAAGTGCTTCCTCTGACACGTACTGGCTGTGTGACTCTGGACAAGTCATTTAATCTGTCCACCCTCAGGACGACTCTCTGAGTATAAATTGAAAAGAAGTACCAGCCTGTATTAATAGAGGGAACTTCTTCATTTGGAGTTCTCCATACAAATGAAACCACAAATCTGGTGCTCATTCCTATCCCTCTTTTCATCATAGGAATGACTATTTTTATTTATTTACTTTTAGATGGGGAGCGGAGTAGTTCAACTTCCACAGATTCTCAAGGCCAGTGCCTAGATCTGGCATTACTGGCTTTCGACATATTTGGGATGCAAAGAGGCTCAATCCCAGGCTCCAGTAAGGTTAATCTAAAGATAACAGTGTTTAATGTTTATCTCTAAAACACTGTACAGTCTTTCTTTCCATATTTGGTCTTCAAAGCAGAGCTGTGGCTCTCTGACCTTATAGGGTAAGCAAGGAGATGTGGATTAGGGTCAGAAAGGTAAGCAGCATTACTTAAGAAAAACAGCATGTTTCTGGTTCTATGTCTTCTTGTCTTTCATTTCTTCCTTGGAGGATATTAAGTGCACCAAATAGTTGGGGTGTCTTCTGTCTTTCTCTGCCCTCTTCTACTCACAAGATTTCTAGAGTATTCTGTTTCCATTGTCAGGGAAGGTGAAGGCTCCTCAGATGATCATATCTCCCTTGCGTCTCTCTGAACACTTTGAAGACTAGACAGCAGAACAATGTTCTGTACGTATTGTACTGGGCTCAATTAATACATGTTTAATTACTGTGCAGATAGTGAAATCAGATTTTATTATAGCCTGCCAGGAACTGCTACTATTCCCCAGGCCTATGGGAACATGAATTGAGGAATGAATGAAAAAGCATTTATTAAGTGTTTGCTATGTGCCAAAGGCCTGGGGATGCAAATAGAAAAAAAAAACCAAGACAGCCTTTACTCTCAGAGCTTACACACTAATTGGGATAGATAATACCTAAAAGAAAGTTCATCTGCAGGGTGGCTGGAAAGGCACAGGGGTCCTTAGGTTGTGTCATTAGGTCAGATAGGGGAGAGGAGGGTCCTACAGGTAAGGCTTGAAGGCCTTAGGAGACAGAAACAGGGATGATGGCAAAGCTTGCTGGCCCTCCATCTCCCTGAACAGACAAGTGATATGAGGACGTGGTGACTCCCACTTCATCAAAGCCATGTGAGCAGTTAAGTAACCCAGATTGGGTTCTGGCACTGCCAGGGGTGGCGGGGGCAGGAGAGGAGGTGGGGAGCAGGGAGGCAAGAGGATAAGGGCACCCCCAATGGTGGCTGCTCCATGTGTTTTAAAATGGTGAGGAAATGCTTCATCTCCTTCTGGATCATTATGCATATGGTGATTAAGGGGACATATCTCACAGTCCTATCATTATGTGGCATGGCTGGGGACCAATTGGGAGTCTTGGCTTGGCACACAGGGCACCAACCAAAGAGTTGTTTAGTCTATGCTAACTAGGGACTAGAGAAGAAAACTCTCCTCATCCTATCACATGGGAATGAGGGAAACCGGAGGATATTTCTTTTCTGGTACATCCATAAACCATTCATGCTACCAAGGCACCACCACGTGAAACATCTCTTTGTTACCCCATGACAAAGCCTCCCATTTTCAGAGCCAACATTAAATTGCTCGTGAAAAATTAAGTGATGCTCCTGGCCTCTAGTGCAGACCCCTTCTTTTCCCATGGGATGGCTGTCCAGCATGGACAATGGCAACTTGAGCCAGCCTGAGTTTCTAAGAGAGGACATGCCCCTCTCTGAAAGTGGAATGGTGCTCAGAATGGCTCTTTGGCCTCCGTTCCCTCCTCCTCAAGGGCTGAAGATGTGGACAACCTCACCCTTTCTAAACCTAGCTCCTCTGTGAAAGTCCAGGGTCAAATATAGTCAGCCACATCTGATACCAATCACGACATTCGCAAACCCTGAGGAAGGTCAGTCTTTTTGGAGTTGCAACCCCTTGAATTTGATTTGGTAACAAGCTTCTCTCCATAAAAGTGTTGGATTTATGATTTTAATTTTTAAGGGAATTAAAATGAATGTTGGGGCACTGTTTGACACAGCTGGAAAACTCTGCTGCAGAAGCAGGCCTGGTAATCCCTGGCACAGTGGTTCCCCACCGCCACCCCCACTGCTACCCCCTTCAGCTTGGTTGAATGCTATAGGTTTTATTTTCACAATTGCAGTGCCCTTCCCTTCCCTGTTCTATCAGTTGCTCCGTGGTGTTCTCGAAAAAGATCGGTCTGATAAAATATGTCATTTAGGCCTCTCACCCCTACCCCCATCTCAAATTCCGAAGCTTATGGTTTCTTTGATGATTTGTTACTGATACTGTTTGGGAGCTCTTGTCAATGTTTATTACTCCTCTCTTGGAATAAAACTATGTTTATGAAGTCCAAATGAAAAAGAGTTTATTTTTTTTCTGGCAGCTTACACTTTAAATTATGGCTCTCAGACAAGAAGATACATTTCAGGATGAGGAACTCATTAATATTTTTAATCCGTTAGAATCTCCTCTCTCATTTGGATTTGCCTGACACAAGCAGATTTCTTCTCTTGGCTTGGACTCTCTGAACTTGCCGTGCTCGGCTTCCAAACCCCAGGGACTGCAGTGTTTCTGCCAAATACTTCTGGCAAGGGGACACACAGAGCATCACCAATAACTTCGCATCACCCCCTTTTAATAAAAGAAAAAGTAAATACATACACATAGAGGAAGAAAACCAACTTTCTGATTCTTCACTTTCTTCCATCTTCTGGATCAGTAACATAATGCATTCTACAGAAGACCCTTCCTATCTGTTCCCCTACCTCTCAGGTGTCTCATAGAGGCTCCTATTATCAAGGCACACAAAATGATGACTGATGGCCAGAAGAAAGCGGATTAAGAGATCTGACTTCTTTCTCCATCCTTCTTTCTCTCCTGTATCTTCCTTACTTCTGGTGAGCCTTTATCTATAAGTCCATGTTGAGCATTTGAAGAATATGACTACTAATAATGATGAGAACAGCAATAACCCCATCATGTTTCATAGCATTTTTAGCTTCAAAGCACTTTCATGAGTACTCATTCATTTTATGTGTTTTTCTTTTTTTGTCTTGCCCTTGAATGTGTTTCTTTTCATGGAAGCTAGCTGCTGGACCACAGGGGGGTCCCACTGGGGTTCCCACTGGGGTGGGAATGAGGGTGGAGGAAGGGCTATAAAGCAATGCCCTGAATTATGCATACAACTCTTCAGGGCAGGCCTCATGAATGCAGAGGCCAATGAATACAAAAAGAGAGAGGAGAGGGGAAAAGAATAGGTCAAAAGGATGGAGAAAAGAAGAGAGAGAAGAGGAGGAGTAAAACTCGTGTAGGCTGAGATTGGTAGAGTGGAGTCAACAATTGCTTTGGATGCCACAGATTGGTGCCACATGCTCCCTAAGTATGGAAGACTCATCCTTCTTACCTGCAATTCAATCAGTAATCAGTCGTTAAGTTTCCATTATGTGCCTAGCACTATGGATAACACAGAAGACACAGTCTCTGTCTTTAAGGTCCTACAATCCATTTTAGGGTACAATAAATCCACACACAAAACAATTAGTAAGCAATATAAGATGGCTAAAAATTAAGTGCTAAGTTGTGCAAGGCAGACAGAGAGAGAGAGAGAGAGAGAGAGAGAGAGAGAACTAGTATGGTAGATAGAAAGTTGGATTGGGGTCAGAGGACCTGAGTTCAAAGTCCAGTTCTATGGCTTACTAAATTTATGACTGTGGGTAAAACAATTAACCTCTCTAGGGCTCAATTTCCTCATCTCAAACTTAGAAAGTTAGATTAGATGACCCCAAGGTCCTCTTTCAGCTCTAAATCTGTGATCCTGGTTGGTCGCTGTCCTTCATAGCTGAAGAAGACAAAATGACATCATTATGACAGACAGCATCCCTGACTGCGTCTGATCAGACCAACGTGAGCTCAGAAGGCTCTACCACAGGGCAGGCACAAAGAGTCCGTATGAACATTTGGAGCAGAGATGTCTCTAAATTTGCACATCTCACATTTCTTTCTAGTTACTGCAACTCTAATGATCCTAATGGAATTGGGGAGAGCATTCCAAGGGGGATAAGTAGAACCAGGCTCACTGTGTCATCACTAAGCATGATGAAAATATGACTTTGGCCTTATATGGTAGGCAGAGACTAGACTGAGTACTTCCAGAATATCCTTATGGTACAGAACATGAAAACAGGAGAAGGGAGAAGGGAAAGAAAGTTACCAATGGAATCTTGGAGGAGGTGGGTGAGTTTGCTGTTACGGTAAGGAATGTGACCACGGTGCTCTGACAGGGCTCCCAGAACATCAGCCAGGGCTGCTAAGCTTCGATTTATAAACGAGGTCTCCCTCAGGATCGTCCCTGTCACTCCAGACATACCTAAGGAAAACCAAAGCCACACTTGATTCTTACTTGCCTTTCGAATTTAGTTTTTGGGATTTGGTTTGGTTTTGTTTGTTTTTGCTAAGTATCACGAAGAATATAATTGAATAACTATGTCAGAAAAAAAAAGCAGAATAAAGATTTCACAGGAAATATCTTTCTCCATGTGGCTTTTTGTTTGTTTGATTTGGGTTTTTTTTGGCTAGGCAGTGGGGTTAAGTGACTTGCCCAGGGTCACACAGCTAGTAAGTGTTATGTGTCTGAGGCCAGATTTGAACTCAGGTCCTCCTGACTCCAGGGCTGGTACTCTACCTACTGCAACACCTACCTGCCCCCTCAATGTAGTTTTATTTATACATTTGTACATATACATTTATATATACATATATAAATATTATATATATATTGATACCATTAACTTTAGTCCTGTAACAAGCTAAACAGTTAGCAGCTAAAACTCTTGGTCAAGTGCTCCTTTATAATAATTTTCAAAACATTATTTGGGACAGGAGACTAGAGTTGTAAAAAGAAAAGGAAAAGAAAAAGAAAAAAATTTGGCCTGTTGGGATGTAATGAAGATTTAAAAAAAAAAAAGCTATCTGCAAAGGGTCTCAAACTTTTATCAGGTCTTTCTCACATTTTTTCCAAGCTCTCTATTCTGCAAACAGGTTCAAGTGAAGTGCTATCATGCCAAGGTTATCACTTCTGGAAGAGTCAACTTACCAATACATTCACTGCCAGCCAAGTCCACAAGTTGTAACTTGGCTTGGACCTGCTTCTGTTGCTCTGTGGGGTCCAGGGGGATCGGTGCTGGAGAAAGACCTCGGGGACAGAAGCCGGCCTTTTCACTTGTCTTTACTTTCTGAGTTGTGCATAGCATCTCTTCACACAGCTTTTGACTTAATTGTTGATCTGCTATAAATTAGGGGGAAACCACTGGTATTGGGTGAGGTAAAAAGATGATACAAGGGCTGTTGATGTGGAACCTTCAGCTCAGAGGCCAACAGATTCAACATATTCATGGGTCTACAAAACTGTTGTCGTTCACTTCATGTCTTATATAGGGACTGGAAAAACTGCAGAGTGATAATTAGTGATTTCTTTTGGCAATGATGCCAAAAACAAAAAAAGGAAGAGGGGATCATCATTTGTCTGTTGGATGTTAAACTAATCTCTAATTGCCAATACTTGTCTCAAGACAAATTAACAATGTTTTCCAGAGGGGTTAAGTTACAGTATGAGCAAATGTTTCCATTTTCATTAACACCAGAAAAACTATTCTAGGCAGAAAAAAATCTACCCTAATGTTTATAGGCCCCAAGAAAAAGGGATTTCACAGCCTCTCTTTGATAACCTAATGCAACAAGCCTTGACTTTCTTTACGTCAAACTTAAATTCTTTAGGTGGCAATGGACATTTCCTTTTGTCCTGTTCTTAAAGGTGGTAACCACTCTACTAGGGCCTAACACTGGGTCCTGACCATGGTAGGTTCTTAATAGTGGTTTGCTGAGTTGAATAACTATGATATTCTTCAAGTTTTTCAAGGTTATGCAATTCATTTTCAAGTATTTGTTTAACTATCTCTGTAAATGTGATGATATTTTTGGTATTTATTAAAGATAAATACACAGACAGGGAAAAAAAATAAATACAATCACAAGAAACCCCAGCAACAGGAGCACTTTTCACTTACCAGCAACATTTTTTTTTTTAATGGAAAACATAGTCCCTGGCAGTGGTTTTGTCAGGCCTTCTCCCATTTGTTTAGTCATAGGTTTTTGGCCTTTCCACAGGCCACCCATTTTCATTACCTGTTGGGTGTGCCCTGCTTCTCTATACAAACAACTTAATTAAATTCAATTTAACATTTATTAAGTACTTATCAAGCGCAAGGCATGAAGGCCACAAAAACAAGAATGGCCACATTCACTCAATAGTATAAGTCTATATAAAATATATGCAAGGTAAATATAATTTGGATATGGGAAGAAGGAAAGCACTATCTGGGGAGCTTCAGGTGAGGCCTTGTGTAGGAGGTGACACCTGAGATGAGCCCTAAAAGAAGCTAGGAATTCCAAAAGGTGGAAGTCACGAGGGAAATTATTCCATGTGCAGAGCAGAAGATGGAATGTTGTATATGGGGTTTGGCAAATGGACCAGTTTAAATAGAATGCAGAATGGGAAGGGTAATTCGTGTGAAATCAGTATGTACAGAAAGGGTGGATCCAGGTTGTGAGAGGTGGTAAATGCCAAACTGAGAAGACAGTATTTTATCCTGAAAGCCACTGAAGCTTCTTGAGCTGGACAGCGATATATCTGGGTAGAATCTTGAGAAATATGTACATTTAGTCAGTAAAGAGGACAGAGAAGCAGGGTGAGAAGCAGAAGAATAGTCTTGTGGAAGCCAAAAAGAAAGCAGTGGCTAATGGCTAAAAACACACTGAATACTGTGGAAGTTAAGGATCTGGGCTGAGAAAGAACACTGGATTTGATGACTAAGAGGTCAATGGTGACTACTTTCCAGAGAAGTTTCAGTGCTGTGGTTAAGAGAAGACAGGAGGTCAGAGTGTAAGAGGCCGTTGTATGGAAGAGAGATTAGACTTGTTCTTGGCCTTTGAGAGCAGAACTAGGAATCATGGGTAGACGTTGCAGAGAAGCAGGTATAGGTTTGGTGTCAGAAAAATCATACAAAACGTGCAAAAATGGTTAAAGCACCTTTTTTGGGGGGGTAGCAAAGAAAGAAAAAGCAAGGAGGTGCCAATCAACTGGGGAACTGCTAAACAAATTATGGTATATGAACGTAATGGAATAATACTACTGTTCTGAAAGAAATGATAAAGGGAGGGATTTCAGAGAAACCTGGGAAGACTTTTATAAAAATTAGAATGAGAAAAATGAGAATAATTTATAGAATAACAACATTGTAAAGACAACTTTGAAAGACTTAAGAACTCTGATCAATGCAATGACCAACCAAAATCCCATGATGAAA